GACTTCCAATTCAGAAAAGTGAAAGAATCAAACTTGGAATGATGACTTACTTTACAGCCGAATAAGAAGGAATATCTTCTAACGGATCAGGATAAGTCTGCATGAAGATTCACAAGCAACAAAAAAAATATAGTCAGTATATATATATGGTAATAAACTATATCTATATATATATATCATCAAAACAGAAAATTCCATTGGTTTCGTTGCTGGTGTTTTCCAGGAACCAAGCAAATTAAGGGCGAAGAGATATATATATATATATATAGAGAGAGAGAGAGAGAGAGAGAGAGAGAGTGATACAGGGAGGTGAGGGATGTAATCAGACAAGTGAGGAACATCTTCGAAGACGTAGCCAGCATCTCCGGTGACGATCTTGGGGAGAGCAGTGGCGGAATCCGCGGTGAAGTCGGTGGTGGTGGAGGAATGGGAGTTGGGAGAGACGGAAGAATAATAGAAATGTCGGGGAGTTGAAAGTGAAAAACAATATCCGTTGGAAGGATCAAAGCATTGGAATATGGGCGTTGTGATGGATGCACAACTGGAAATGGAGTCCATCGACTTTTATCAAAATTACCCCCCAAAGTCACCAAACATATACATGCACAATGCCCCAATGTGTAGTGTGTATATATACACATGTGCATGAGGGAAAATATATATATATATATATATATATATGAGTTAGATTTTAAAGTCTCATCAAGATGTTTTAGGTTTAGAAGAGTACTTATAAAAATATTCATATATCATCTATTAGTAAAAATTTTATATTGATAATAAGATTAAATTTGGATTTAATGAATAGTTTATGTTCACTAGGTCAATTAATGTCTTGATTATAGCTATTATATTTCATCAATATTTGAAAATTGTCAAGGCATTTCCTTTCGAAAGTTCAAAACAATTATTATGATTATAATTCTCCTTATCCTCCCCAAGAATTTGAAATTTGATATAGACTTTCTCTAGTAAAAAAAATGTAAGGTATTGTTAGTGTTTTAAGGTGTAATACCTATAATAAATAAATCTCTTTATATTTATTTTAAAGTGAAATGTCCTATTAAATACAGATAAATATGAAAAAAGTGATGTTAATTGAAAGACAATTAATTAATTTGTTGGAGAATAAGATTTAATTAAAAATTACTTACATTTTTAAATAATTTAAAAGGATGTTATATATCGTGCCACACAAAACATTTATTAAGTGAGTGACTGATGTTTATTGGATCCAAATCTCATAAAATTTAAATCAACAATCCTATGAATTATAGTTTAAATTTTAATTAACTAGACTAGTTAATTTCTCTGATTGTTGGTATGCACGGCCTTTAATTTGCTTTATTCATGTAAACAAAATGAGGGAACTGATTTTAAAATGGAACATGGGGGAAAGTAAAATAACTGAAAAATAATGTATAATGAGAGCTCATAGTAAAATGGACGATTTTATCAAAGATCATTAGGTGACATCGAGGCCACATCAATGGTATGTGTGTTTATTGGGAGTGTATTACTAAATATACAGGTTGGTATTGTTAATCATATTTCCTAGAGATACACACACATTTTCTTAAAATTTACACAAGTATTTTGTATTTTCTCTCTTATATGAATAAAAAAAATTTAGGTGAGTTCAATGAAACCCAAAAATTGTTTTTAGTTTTGATTTAAATTCATTATTATATTTTCACTAGGTGAGAATATATATGATTTAGTATTATTTGATTTTTTTTATTAAAGTTCCCCTCATCCATGTTTTTTTATTCAGCAATCTATAAATATTTTGGTAATTAAATACTCTTCGAATCATGCATGAAATATGTCATAATCCTAATAAATCCCCTATTTAGCTTACACAATTTTTTTGTCAAAAAATCATATTAAGGAGTTAATAATAAAACAATTACATTAAATGTATAAGAAATTTCATCAACTTGGATTTTTTTTTATGGTCTTTCAAGTTCTATATTTTAAATCTTATCAAAAGGCATGAGTAAAGTATTTCGCTTTAGAAAATAATTTATTATTATAAAAAGGAAAACAAGTTAATTTATTAAAGCTAGATGCCTCTCTCAACTGACATAAAGATTAAAATGACAATTAGTAACATTTCCCTATCCTGCAGCCTTTTCTTTTTGCTCCAATGAAGGACTAAGTAGTATATACATAAAATAGTTTTGTGACCAAAATTTAGATTATTTGTATATAAGTCTAAATTTACTTTGCGTGTGCATGTTGACTTGTGTGTTGTTATGAAGTAATCAATTTGTCATTGATACATTGATTAATGTTAAAATTATATATGCTTGATCTATGTGAAGTTTTAAAACAACATGTTTCATTCTTTTTGTTTTTTTAAAATAAAATGATGTAAATGTGATCGAAAGTCAGGAAAATGAAAATATGAAAAGAACGCAATTGATGTTAAATTTGAATCATACCCTAGCTATTCAAATTCTATAATTTGAAAGACCAGAACAAGTAATGCCAAAAAATTATCTAAGCTATATTTTTCCATCTCCATATTTTTTTTACTTTCTCAATTTTTCTATGTCAATCCTCTTACTGTTAAATTACCAAAACCATGATAGTCACATTTAAATTGGATTTGAATCTTTTATACTATAGTATACAATTGTTTCATTCAGTTTATTTCTTTTTATATCATGACAGTGTTTAAGTTATGTTTTAAAAAGTCAAGGTATTATATCTTGTGTAACAAAAAAAAAAAGTCCAAAAAGTTGAAGACGTAGGTGTTTCCTTGCATAAAACTCTTTCAAGCTTTTTCAATGTGGTGTTTTTTTTAATTATAATGTGACGTCAAATAGACATATATCTATTTTTACATTACTATTTCTAAATGTCTTTTAATTTTAAATTAAGGGTTAATTTTGTCTCTAAAATATACGCAAAGGTTCACAAATAATGTTAAACTTAACTTGAGGTTAATTTTATCTCTTAATTTTAAAAATTTGAACTCCCATTCCTCTAACATTATTTTTCTATTAAGTGGGTCTCACATTTAAATTTTTTAATGAGCCCCGCCATTCTTTTTTTTTTTTTTAAGATTTCTTTGTCCCAATCTCTTCCCTTTCAACAATCCTCATGCTTTCACCATGCCCACAAACTTATGCTCAAAGCTATAACTTCTACTATAGCCATGATGGTTCTCTCCCACTTCTCATTGAACCAATTCTTGCTCCTCAACTCATGTGAGACCACGAACACACGCCCGAGAGATTGCCACATAGGTGTTGCCATCCACAAACCACAAGTCGTTCCTTCAGCCGAGCAACCTAACTCTCATTATCGTTGTAACAGAAGCTGCTGTTGCACCCTTTTCAAATTCCTTTGGAAGCTCCTCATCGCCTTTATTATCATCTGACCCTTGCTATTCTCATCTTTTGGCTCACCATCTAACCACACACTTTCAAGTTTTATATCTTTGACACCAAGCTCACCTAATTTGACTACTCCAACTACACCAAACTCACCTAAGTTTTACATCTTCAAGTTTTATGTTGATTTTTGCCATAGTCATGATGTCACACACCAAGATCTCAAGCTTGAGAATCTATTCCTCAATGAAAATGAGAATCCCAAGGTCTTCAACTTCAAACTGTCTCAATATCTCAAGGATCTCATTCTACAAATGATCCCTGCCAGGCCCCCCATCATACTAACCGAAAAGTCTCATTGAAATTCCAATGTGCTTGGTGAAGTGAGTCAGGCATCGCATCAACATAGTGAATGGACAATGGACCTACATATGAAAAATCAAAGTCACAAGACCCAAAGATTGAAGCACCTAGTGGTAAGCTCGACGAGGCGAGGAGGTCAATGATTTAGGGTCATCAAGGAAAGCAGGGAATGGATGAGAGAGAATGGACAGTTGGAGGAGAGTATAGAGAGGAAGAGAGGAGAGGGAGAGTATGCAAAGAGGGAGGGGGAGAGAGAGTAATTTTTTTTATAATGAGGGAGGGGAGAGAGAGTAATTTTTTATATTATAAAAAAATTAAAAATGAATTATGGGACCCACTATCAAAATATTTTGTAACATAAAATATTAAAAAAATTAAATGTGGGACCCACTCCATAGAAAAATAACATCAAGGGTATGGAAGATCATATTTTTAAAATTAAAAAATAAAATTGACCCAAAATTAAGTTTAAGATCATTTGTTAACTTTCGCGTATACTTTAGAAATAAAATTGACTCTTAACCCTTTAATTTTATGTGAATTCAAATTCAAAACTGCACATTTAACTGGCTATACCTCTTTTAATTAAAATAAATATTTGTTAGATCAATTGTTATTGGTCTTAATAAAAAAGGCTGTGGCACTTCTCAATCTCTAAATCGTGAGCATGCCAAAAACCTTTTCAGGAGAGTTATTCCAAATAAATCTAACCATGGTCAAATCTCACTCATGCTAGAAAGTTTTATAAAAGGACCTAATGTTTGTTAGATTTTTTAATTTCATTAACAAAATGTCAAAATGTATTATAGTTGACATTTATTTATATATGCTTGGTTTTACTTTTCTCAACCTTTCAGTCTAGTGCACTACTATGTCAGACTTAAGATTTAGAAAAATTATTTGAATATAATTCAAACCTTAATAGACTATTCACACAGAAATTTAAATTCTAAAACGCATCGTACTTCCCTTTTAAACTAACCAACTAAACAATAACATAAGTTTAGTTGCATACATTCGGAGTTTTTTTTTTTTTTAGTTTTAAAAGTTTGAGATTGTTTACATATGATTTAGTTCGGATCAAGTGCTGTTAAGTAGTTTTTTTATTCAAATTTTCATTAAGGACAATAATTATGAAAGAATTTTCAAAAAATATAATCATAAATCAATATTTAATAGGAAATTACAAAAAGTATTCATTTAAAAAAAAAAAGAATTGACGAAGAAGTGAAAGGGGAAAAATGATAGTAAAAAGTAAAAATAGAGCAGAATAGTCACCGCATGCAAGATCGCTCACCGTAGGGATTCAATTGAACCTATTCCTCAGACCAAAAACCTCGCTTCTCTTCGCTTCCTAGCCACCTTCGTTCTTCGGTGTCTCGCAAAACCTCGAAATACTGAAATTGGTGAGGCTGTGACCTCGAAGGATTAGGGATTTACTCTGCAACCGAGCTCATCATGTACAGAGCGGCAGCTTCACCGCGGAGGTCTCTCAAGGTGAGTGCCCACTTTTTACGACAATGCTTTGACTTTCTGTTTAGATGCCCATTGAATGTTTTGTAGCAGACAAACTGGCCCTGAATAACTATGGCGTTTGATTGACGATGTCAGCCTCAAATGCATGACTGTAAATTTCTTTTCTTTTTTTCTGGGGAAACCTGACTGGTGTGTTTGGTTGAATGCTTTGGGATAATAAGACATGTTATTTGGCCAGTGATTCTTTTGATGCTAAACCTTCAAAACCCTTGTTTCCACGCTGAAGTTTGTGCGTTGCCTCGATTGACAAATCCTAAATCGTTTCAAACCGAGGCAGATAATTTTCCTTGTGTAATGGGGAATGTGAACTTCTAGCTCATTTTATTTGTTTGCTTGCGTGTGTGTTGCATGATGTCATCTTATGTAACTGTAGAGGGACGTTTTGTTTTGATTAATGTTCTGTTGGTATCAAAAAAATTCTGTGGCTTTAGGGCCGTGTGATTAACTTGGGGACTACTAGATTTGCAACCTCAAGTGCAGTAGCTACAAGGCCCACCTCTGGAGGGTTTTTTAGCTGGCTTACTGGAGAAAGTTCAAATTCTCTTCCCCCCTTGGATACGCCACTTGGGGGTGTTGTTCTTCCAGCTCCGCTACCAGATCATGTTGAACCAAGCAAGACCAAGATCACAACTCTCTCCAATGGTGTTAAAATAGCATCAGAGACGTCATCAGTATGTGTTTCCACCCTTTCTTTGCATTTTAATTTTAGTGACATATTCAATTGAGCTTTATATACTTTGTTTATAGGATTGTTGCCTTGACTTCTTTTTTGTTTTTGTTTTTTTTCTTTTTTGGGGTTAATTAGAATCCTGCAGCTTCCATAGGGTTATATATTGACTCTGGTTCCATATATGAGTCACCATTTTCAAGTGGAGCATCACACTTGTTGGAGAGAATGGCTTTCAAGAGCACAACAAATCGTAGCCACTTTCGCATTGTGAGGGAAGTAGAGGCAATTGGTGGTAATATTGGTGCGTCAGCGTCTAGGGAGCAAATGGGCTACACATTTGATGCTCTAAAAAGCTATGTTCCTCAGATGGTAGAATTACTAGTTGATTGTGTAAGGAACCCAGTCTTTTTAGAGTGGGAGGTCAAAGAAGAGGTATCTGTTATGTATGAATTTATTTTCTCAAAGATATTATTCTTATTCTTACAGTCTCTCAGTCTTTAGCAAGATCGTGCACCATCTTCTGCAGAGAGGCAGGGGTTTACCATTTTTATGGCCTTCATGGATAAAATAATTTTGGGAAAATGGCAAACCATTAGTGTGCCTGTTTGGATAGCCCAAAACGTGGTTTTCTAAAAATTTATCCAAACGCCCATATTTTGATTAAATCAATTATCTAGTTACTCAACTGAACGCCCGTGCTTTCATTGAATCAATTATGAGCCCAAAAATTCAACTATGAAGGCTTTCTCATAAGCAGCTCCCACATGCTTCTATGTTTTGATTAAATCAATTCTGCCCAAAATTGTGCTTATAGATCAATTTTTATCTGAATCCCATTTTACCCAACGCTAATTCAAACACACCTAGTGTCCATTGAAATAGGTCATTCCTTTTTTCATTAATTGGGTAACAATTTAGTAACTTATAGGTCCTGAGCATGGGAGAGAAAGTGACTTCTTGTTCTTCTAGGTTATGTAATTGGAGACTCCTAGCTAACCCCTCCATTTCATTAAAAGGTGTAATATTTATAAGCCCTGCTTTCTTCAAGCATTAAGATCATTTTTGTTTTGTTTAAATAGTTTTGCATGAGGAAAATGCTAACGACCAATCAGCGGTTTGCTTGTCTTCTGATACTGGAATGGTTGTTAATAATTCGGTGAACCCTGCCAGTCCTTCTAATCTTGTTGAATGATCTACTGATACAGCTGCAAAAGGTCAAAGCAGAGCTTGGAGAACTTTCAAACAATCCTCAGGGCTTGCTTTTGGAAGCAATTCACTCGGCTGGTTATTCTGGTGCATTGGCTAATCCTCTTTTGGCTCCCGAATCAGCACTTGATGAACTGGGTTGCAGTATTTTGGAGAAATTTGTTGCTGTAAGACCTTTTATTCTTTCTGAGACTGGATGCAAACTACTACTACTAATTTATTCCATACTTATATTTCTTCTGCTGTTCTTGCCCTTTCTAATTTCGATTCTGAATGTTGGGTGTGAAAAATTAGGAGCATTACACGGCACCAAGGATGGTACTTGCAGCATATGGGGTTGATCACGGAGAACTTGTATCTATTGCAGAGCCACTTCTCTCTGATCTACCAAGTGTTTCCCATCCCGAAGAACCAAAATCTATCTATGTTGGAGGTGATTTTCGTCGTCAAGGTGAAGCGGGAGTGAGTATTAGTTTCAGATTTACCTCCTCAAATCACATCTATCATATTCCTCTATGTTTTATGTATGTGCTTCAGCCCACTTTCAAATAAAATATGTTGATACTTATCTACTACAATATGCTGCAACATCAGGGTGCTCATATTGCTATTGCTTTTGAAGTGCCTGGTGGTTGGCATGAAGAGAAAGATGCCATAGTTTTGACTGTTCTACAGGTGCGCATTGTTTAGTCCCTTTGGATTCAAGAAATACATTTTCTTTTTTTAAATGGCACAAAAATAGAAAAATGGTATGATGAAGGGATGCACAAAAATAATTGTAAGCACTGCAGATGCTTATGGGAGGTGGTGGCTCATTCTCTGCTGGGGGGCCTGGAAAGGGGATGCACTCAAGGCTATGTAAGTGCTTACTTTTATCGTCTTGTCCCAACCTACTTTGGTCAATTTTACTTATTAAATTAGGTCTTCCCATCAGAGATGAGTTTTCTTTCTGCTTACCTCTAATATAATCATATCATAGTGCTTATTTCTTAGATATGCATCTCAGGCTTTTTTTTTTTTTTTTTAAGTTGATTTTATTATGTTCATTTGAATCCAGATCTTCGTGTCTTGAATGAGTATCAACAGATTCAATCCTTCTCTGCATTCAACAGCATCTTCAACAAAACTGGATTGTTTGGCATTTATGCAAGCACCGTAAGCACACCCTTTGCTTTCCATTCATTTTTTTTTTTTTCCTCTCAGGCTTATATTTTTGAATAAAAATGAACTGCCATTTGTTGTAGATATTATTTATGTACCTAAACCAAATGCTGATAGAAGATAGACTTCTAAAAAAACTTCTCGGTTGAAGTGACCTGCTGATAGAAGAAAACTAGTTTGTGGCTATCAAATAGCATGCCAATGACCTTATAATTGTTATACTTGAGCTTGCAATTTTATCTTCACCTGTTCTGTTTGCTTTTTATCTGTTTGTGAATTTGTAATGTATTAGTTTTAATGTTTACTGTTTAATATTATTTTCCTGGGCTTAAGTTATTTTTTTTCCTTTTTTAAAAAAATGTGGCGGTAGAGCTCTGATTTTGTGTCAAAAGCTGTGGATATAGCAGCCAAAGAATTAATAGCAATTGCATCTCCTGGACAAGGTTTTGCCCACATCTCATATTTTCTATACAGTTTGTTTGTGAAGGCCCCGTTTTCTTTTAACTTAAATTTACATATCCTGCAATGGCAGTTTCACAGGTACAGCTTGATCGTGCCAAAGAATCCACTAAATCTGCCGTTTTAATGAATCTGGAATCTAGAGTATGCTATCTCCCTCCCTGCCTCCCTCCTCCTTCATCCCGAGTTAATCTAATTGTGATAATTTTAAAGATGTGGCCTGTGGTTTTCTTTTGTTTAGACCCTCATTTTCACCTATCTCTCACCCTAAATAAGAAAACTCTTATAGCCTATGATTGCATATTTTCATGGCATGAATTTATCTCGTGGGTTTTCATCTGTTTCCCTCTTCCACTTGTTTCCTGTCGGCTTACAAATTGTCACTTTTGTAGATGATTGCGTCAGAGGACATTGGAAGGCAGGTTTTGACTTACGGAGAAAGGTATACAATCCATGAATATGCCTTTTTCCTCACGCTTCCATTCCTTAAGACCGACTAAAATTTACCCCCTTTCATTACTTCCGTGTCTTCAACATGCAAATGACACTTATCTTCAAAATATCTCTCGACTAATAGATTAGGTTCTTGTTTGCCAAGTTTTATTAGATGATACGACCTTAAGTTACTTATAGATGTTTGCACGAGTTTTTAGTGAAAAATCTTAACGTGTGGAGAATCTGGAAGTGTTCTAATTGGAAAACTTGATTGTCCCTGAATTTTGTAATTCTCACATTTTTACATTGTCATGGAAATATAGTCTATGTTTGCTAAAGAAAAACATAAATTACCTCCTTTCAGGAAACCTGTGGAGCATTTCTTGAAGGCCGTAGATGAAATCACGTTGAATGACATAACCAAGATTTCCCAGAAGATTATTTCATCACCTTTGACAATGGCATCATTTGGGGATGGTAAATAATTTTAGAATTTCAGTAAAAAATAATAATAATAATTTTAGAATTTTCCGTTTATCTGGTTTCTGGTAATGACAGTTCATTCATCATTGAGTAATGAGACTGTCTTCTCCTTTCCTTTTGGCAGTTCTAAATGTCCCCAGCTATGAATCTGTTAACCGCAAGTTTCATGCAAAATGAAAATTGCATGTCATCATCAAACCTGAGACAGCATAATTTCTGGGTCACATGTCCCAGTAATTTCCAGCCATATCAACCATCTCAGCAATGCTGATAATAAGTCCCAGAGAAGAGAATTTGTTTTCGTGCTGATCTGAGGAATAATTAACAGACAATTTTTTTTCCCTTGAGAAAAACTGATTTACCATTATTGGTTCAAAAAGTGAGAAGCTGCAGATGCATGATCTGGTGGTTGCTCTGCTTGTTAGTACTAAGCTTTTGAACTTGGAAGCTCAAGGTAATATGCTCTCTTCCACATACCATGAAGACCCAATGTGCAAGTAAAGATCAAGTGATTATTGGTCACTAGAAATTTTGAAGATAATGAATTCATTTTTGGCTATCTTTAGTCTTGGCCAGAGAGATTTTTTTTAAAGCTTTGCATTTAGAATGCTCGATGTTTTCATATATTCATAACTCTGCAGGTGCCTGCCTTATCCTTTCATCTTCTCCCGTTGACACTATCTACTCGTCAATTATCATACTATATTTTTACATAATTTTAAGTTAAAAAAGTAATTTAAAATTTCACGCAAAGTTAATATACTATACTCGTAAAAACTCTTCATATTAGTTATGGAATCAGTTTGTTGTATGACATATATATATATATATATATATATAAATAACTCCAATAAAAGTCAATATTAATAATTAATAAGATATTGAAAATATTATTATTGTGTTATATTAATACAAATTATTTCCCCCGAATTATAATTTTAATCCTCAATTTTTTTCTCAATTTCTCTCGTAACATTTTTACTCTAGTTATAAAAAAATATAAATGGTAAAATTGTAAGAAAGTGATTAATAATTTGTCTTTTATGCAAAGTAATTTATAAAAAATAATTGATTTCTTCTAGAATATAATTTAGATATAAACTGAATGGAGGGATTTAGCTTGGATTAGCGTTCACAATTTATGAAGTGATTAGGCAGTTTTTGTGGGACTCCACTAATTCTTCCAATTTATCATACAAATAAAAATTAATGTAGGAGTAGTTCTTGAAGTGTTGGTACCTTTAAGGGCGGTTTGTAAAAATTTCTGGAAGTGTTTCAGTCTAGAGATATATTATGCTCTGATGAGTTTGTTATATATATATATATATATATATATATAAGGGTATATGAGTAGGTTTTAAAAGTGTTGTTAATAGTAATAAACATTAATTAATCTATATTTTTTAATTAGTTCTATATACTATTTAGAAAGTTATAATGTTCTTATTTACGACACATTGTGTGAAGTACAGATAATAATTGATTGCTTGATGTTTATTTTCCAAAAATGTGACTTATCTTACATACGGAACATCGTCCATCGTACGGATATGGCAATGGGGAAGTGAGCGTCGTGGCAAGGGCACATCCAAGCACACCAATCAAGAAAATTCTGTTCTGTCGTTCCTTTGCCCCCTCTCAGAAATTCTATTCGGTTCTGTTGTATTACCAATTTCAATAACTGTTACCAAAAACTAGATGATGTTTTACCCCGACATGTTTAGAGAAATAAACAATTGTGTTGATTGAGAACTTTTAAAATTCTACTGCAAGTGTGCAGATTTTTTTAAAAATTTTGATGAGTTGATTTATTTTTTAGATATTTTTTGTAACGTTGTATTAAAATAAAAATGGAATATGTTTGGTAATGTGGTTGAAACTTGAATGAAATCATCGCAGGGAAAATGGAAAGAAAGGGCGAGAAGTAATAACAGAATTTCCTGGATTGGTGTGCTTGGATGCGTTTGGTTGAATGGAAATTCTGTCCTTTTTTAAAACCCTGTGACGCGGTGCATTGTGGGATGTCTAATCATTTTAAACGGACAGGATTTGAGGCCGTTGAGGTACGCTGAGAATCCGGCTCCTAATCTAATAACGTTATGTCGTTATGTCATGTGCAGTGAAATGGTTGCATTATGTTGTTTGGCCTATTGCATCATTATATTCCAGCTCACCTCACTTTCATGATTCTCGTGACGCTTCACGAGCGTAAGCTTGTAACGTGTTCAAAATGTCGTCCTCTCCATGCTTTGGCCTAACAAGGCATGGTGGGATTTACAAGGCGAGCGACCATATTCTACTAACAAATGTTTCAATAAATTGCATTTAAGTCCTATAAAAAAAAAGTTTAGTATCGAAAGATTTTATAAATTTCATAAACTATTTTTAAATTTTAAATTCTATGTATTGATAATTTGATTGAGGGTATTGACAATTGAACAATGATCATTTACAACTAGTAAAGTAAAATAATAATTTGTTATAGCAAATTGTAAATAATCATTATCAAATTATCAATGCGTAAGATTTGATATTTGAAAGTATTTTGTAAAATTTATATGATGTCTCGATAACAAACTTTTTTTTGTGGGATTTGAATGTAATTTTTTCTTAAATTATAATTATTAAATTTTTTAAACATTTTAAAATTATCAAGACATATATTTTTAAAATATTTAAAATAATTCTTGTAATTAGAACACTCTTCATGTATGTCATTTCAACATTCAAAAATTTAAATTTTGATGCTTTTTGTTTATCATTCAATAAAATCTCTAACAATCAATTGATTAAATTAAATAATTATTATCATGTTAGGTAGAAAACTTATTAAATGAGTGAATTTCAATGGTTTTTTTTTTTTTTTTGAAAAATTGGAAAGTAGTATCAAAGGTTTCCAAACATAAGCTGAAACAGAGATCATATAGGGGCTTTGCTATGGACATTTGTGGAGAAAGTTAAATCAATCTCGGCTTTGATGACTGAAGCTCTAGCTTTGCTGGCACTGGACCTGGGAAGAGATAAACTAGTCTTTAATTTGAGAGTGATTATTTGGTGCTTGTCAACTGTGTTCAGGGTGGAACTTCGCTGCTGATTCTAACGAGGACGTGGGCCCATACTTTCATTGGAAGCCATGGAAGCTTCACTGTCTGTGTAAGCAATCTTTCTCATACAGCTGTGTTCGATCTGGAATTGGCTAATTCCCTTTTAATTCGCCTCTGTTTTCTCTGTTTTGTTGCTCTTGTTTTTGCTTCTTGTTGTTTCCTTCTTATTGTAAGCTCTTGAACTTCGTTTTTCATGGAATGAAGCTTCCATTGGCCCAAAAAAAAAAAAAAAACAAAACATATGAGCTTAAACTCTTATCTTCATTTAGTTACTGTTCATTAAAATGGTCCAAAAATAAAATGATTTTTAAGTTTATTCCAATTTAGAAGCATATTTTTTAAAAAAATCCTAGGTAACGGTAAATATGGGTGATTTTTGGGGGAAAAAACTAATTAACAGTAACTAAAATGTGTGACAATCAAATTGTTTTAGAAAGCAACTAATATATAAGATGGGAAGAAGTGTTATCTATACGCATATGGGGATGCATTTTATGCTCTCCAATTTTATGATAACTTCAATAAAAAATGACTCATTTAAAATGAAAAAGTATATAAATTGAAACACCCAAAAACCTTAAAAAAATCTCTTACAAAATAGAAAGGAGCTGAGGGAGTGAGTGGTATATATTTATTGAAAAGGACATTATCAGACACGTCGAAGTGTGATTCCTTCCTGAGCCACAACATTTGCTGATATCTTGGATAATGATTCAATGGTTTACATGGACGTTGGAGCATGGGATTATATTACAAATAAAGGGTTCATCGTTTCCCCCCCCCCCCCTTTTGTTTTCTAGTTCATGGAAATTATTACAGGATTAAAGGGCATTTTTTTATATTTTATTTCTAGGAATGCTTTGCATCCTATAATAATAAGTTGAGCATTTTTCTTTCTAAATTATTTTTTAAATGAACAAAAATTTTTATCTATTAGTGATCTTTTAACTTTGTCATTTTCTATTAACATAGTATGTCATTTGGTATTAATTTATTTTTGAACTCTTTCTAAAAATGCTAGGCATCATGAAGTTTTGTTAAAATAAAATTTAATAAATATTATTTAAATATTTAATATTTATTAAGAAAATTAATATTGATTGGGTCTCTTAAATTTTCCAGATCATTCTTTGTAATTTTTTTTGTTAACTAATGGTCAAATTAATGGATATTTAAAATTGAAGTGTCACTTATTCTTAATTGGTATTTTCATATAATGCAATATGTTTTCAATTTTAAAATTTAAAAAAGAGTTACAAATTTAACAAGACAATATTAATTTTATCTGTTTATTTGAAGGTTCATTTCCTCCTTTAATTTTTTATACAAAGTTATAAAATATCAAAATATTAAATTTGAATTGTGCAATAGTTGGCAAAAAAATTACAAAGAATGACCTAAAATATTTAAAAGACTTAATCATTATTAATTTTTTTATAAATTCATTTTCTATAATTTATTTGAAATAATAATTATTATTATTATTATTTACAAATATTCACACACTATTTACAAGTCATCTATAGCTATTAATATTTAAAAAATAATTTATAAATTTTTTGTGAATATTTAAAAATAATAATATATAAAGTTAAACTTTAAAATGTTAAACATTTTAATGTAGTATTTATTAAATTTTATTTTAACATAATTTCAGGTTGCTCGACACTCCTAAAAAGAATTAAGAACATGTTAGCATCAAATTAAAAGATATGTCATGTTAAATCAGTAGAAAACGACACAACTAATGGGATGGGCGGCCAAGGCCCCCTCCACTATACACCTAGATCCGTCCCTAAAAAACATAACTTTTAATCTACATACTTTACTCGTATTTTATTATTGATTTTTATATTTTTTTGTATTTAAATTTCCATATTTTTATTTTTATTGTTTTAAGTTTCTCTATGAATAAAGTGTGCAAATTTTGGAGAAATCTAAAATAATAAAAAATAAAAATTTAAAAATCTAAAATGCTAAAATAATACAAAGATTAATAATAAAATGCAAGAAAAGTGAAACAACATAAAGTTTTATTTTTTCAATAACAAAAGTTTGCGTTGCTCACATTCCTCCAGGGGAGAGTCAGTTCTTTTTTACCATATAATACTGTTAGCAGGGATCTTTGCACAATTGCTTTTTTAATTTCGATTATTTACTTAGAATAGTAATATATACACACACACATATAGATATAAAGATAATCGCCATTATGCTCTGGTAATTTAAAAAGTGAAGGCGTTTGCTTCTTCAAAACCTAAATACGTAAACAGGTTGAGCTACAGTTGATGTTTCACGTAACAGTGAAAATAAGTCAATGTATCTGTAGTGATTAAATAAATTATCATGTATGATATTGAAAGAAAAAAAATAAAATAATATATTCACAAATCTCTCTCTCTCTCTCTCTCTCTCTCTAAGCTGTGGCTTTTCAATTTTCACAGCAGTTCAGGCAGGAAAGGGCTCATGACCCAAAGAAAAAAATTATAGCCATAGATATATTAGATATTGGTAAAAAAATTCTAGATAATTATTAATCACTCGGTAATTTGCATGTGTAAAAAATTAATTGAGCCAAATATCACGAGTTTCACAACAAAAAAATGAACCTTTTTCAATCACTTTTAAATAATCATGTTCTCGATTTAATTATCATTATTTGTTTTCAATGTTATTAATTACCTCTAAATTGCAGTCATCATTTAAAAAAAAAAAATCAAAACCAATATCAGTCATATAAGATCACACGTTTTAGCTTATTGTTCCAAAAATATATAGGGGAAAATGTGCGTGAAAGGAACAGACAAATTAAAGAAGCTTATTTAAGAGAGAGAGCAAAACCAAGGCGAATTCAATCCTCCAAGACTTTGCTGATTTCTCTTGCATTTTCTAAGCTACGAAGCCATGAAGGCCCTAGTGGCTTTTCTCCTTGTGACCTCCATTGTAGCAACAACCCATGGCTCGGAAGAAAAACCCTACCAAATCCACCCTCTCCGCCTGAAAACCGGCTCTGGCAAAGACGGCGCCACCGTGCAAGGCATAACCTGTGCTAGCTGGCGGCTGGCCGTGGAAGCCCACAACATCATAGAGTGGTCCACCGTCCCGGCAGAGTGCGGAAACTACGTCGGCAACTACATGGTAGGTCAACATTACAGACAAGACTCCAAAGCAGTTAACAGAGAGGCATACTTTTACGCTCGCGCTCTCAATCTCACTCAAGACGGCAAAAACATTTGGGTCTTTGACATCGACGAGACTTCCCTCTCCAACCTTCCTTACTACGCGGAAAATGGTTTTGGGTATGTGTCTGCGCCAGTGTGTATATATTCTTCTGTCTTCCTTCATTTTCATTTCATTAATGAATATATGGGGTGAAGGGTGGAGCCATATAACTCGACCAAGTTCAACGCGTGGGTGGACAAAGGGATAGCACCAGCACTACCAGAGACGATCAAGCTGTACGACAAGTTGCTGAATCTGGGCATTAAGATCGTGTTCATCACTGGAAGACCACTCAGTCAAGAGAAAGTCACTGCTTCGAACCTCAAGAACGTTGGCTACCACACTTGGCTCAAGCTGATCCTCAAGTAAGTAATTCATGAGTGTGTGTGTGTTCCGTGTAGCTTTGAGTACTGTTATATGTGTGTGTGTGTGTGTGTGTGTGTGTGTGAGATTATATGGATTTGAGTTTGGGGTTATATTATATATATATACATATACAGGAATACGACGGAGTACCCGGGAACGACGGCGGTGGTGTACAAATCGGCGGAGAGGAAGAAGCTGGTGAAGAGTGGGTACAGAATCATCGGAAACACCGGAGACCAGTGGAGTGACATTCTGGGTACTTATACGGGCAATCGGACCTTCAAGTTACCCGACCCGCTCTACTACATTAGTTGAGAATTGAGATCCGTATCACGTTACTCCAGCAGATCAGTTTGGAGCATTATAATTTGCATGAGAGAGAAAGTAATTAATAAGGATTAGTAATGTCTCTTTCTATATCTGTAGAATCAATAAAGAAATTCCAAGTTGATATGTGTTGCTGTGTAATGTTTCCATCCGCAAGAAATAATGAGGCTTACCATTTTGCTCAAGAGTTGATGTTAGTGTAACTTTCTTTTTCTTTTTTCCTTTTTAGAAAATTAAGTATTTAACCCCTTTAATTTTTGCTTGGTAATTACAATTCAGTTTCCAAACTTTCTTAACCCAATCCCTTCAGTTTCATCCATTTTATAAATTAGTCCTCACATGCACTTTCACAAAATTTTTAATCAATAAGGGGTTGCATTAATTGTTTAATTAGTCTAAGAGGCACGCATCAACGGATTAAATGACTAAAACTTGCTGGATTGAATTGTATTGAGCTAAATTTTATGAATTAAATTCTAAGCAAGTCATAAAAGATTAAATAATTAAAGGCTTGTTTGATTTTATTTTTAAGAATTATTTTTTGTTTTTAAAAATAAAAAAATTATTTTTGATTTTAGATTTAATTTTTTTCAAAAATATTCTCATTTTTATTTCTTAAAAAATGAAAATATCTTAAAAAAAATTATTTTTGTTTTTTTTTTTTTTAAAGCGCATTACATATTGACTATCTGAAACTATTTGAGATATAATCAACCATTATTATAAGCCATCGTTATCAAATGAATTTTCTTTTCGTTTTGGTCTAGAAAACAACTTTAAAACTTATATTACAAAATAAGATTTTGAGAACAAATAAATGGAAACACAATTAAATAGATTCTAATTTTTTTCCTTTTTATTTTTAATTCCACAAAGGTATTCTATGAAATCTAGGATATTTACCACAATCAGCATAAATTAATCCGAACCCTCACTATGCAAGAATGTTATTACTAATTGAAGGCGGCTTCATGGGTAGCTAAGGAATGTCTTTGACACATATATTTAACCTAAATACATATCTAATTTGAATCCCACATCTCATGATAAATTAATTTAACTTTCTCGAGCTAGTATTTGCCGGTGTAAGTCAACCACGTCAAAATGGTCCTATTCGTGTTCTGCAGATGAGGCTGAGGCCAACTACAGCGGAGCCAACCAAATGGTACTGCGAAGCGCCACAAAAATTTGAACCAATGACGAACGATAAGATATGTAGGGGCCAAAAAGGAAAAAAATTAAAATTAAAATATATGTAAAAGTTTCAACTGGACAATTTCGGAATTTCCTCTTCGTTCTCTATTTAAAAAAAAAATTATGGACAGAATCTGAATATCCTAAAAACAAATTAAATACTCCAACCATGTAACTTTGTTTGTCTTATGTGACTAAATAAAATAATATAAAAACCATAAAGACATGATATTGGAATTTAAAAGGTAAAATTTAAATGAGTTAAATCAAGAGACTGATTAAAATTTAAAACAAGTCTTACTGTGTCTTAAAGATTATTAATAAATCACACAATGATAAACAACAGTAACTGTTGGCAAAAAAAAAAAACAATAATAACTCGTCATGGTTATGATCATCTATTTCAATTCTTTCACTTTCAGCATCCTTTTGGGTCACCAAAGAATCTTATACAGCGTATATGTCAGGGCACTATTCAAGTGATGATAGTAAAAGTAAATATTTGTATAATTATAATCATAATAATGTGTTGTAGAATTACAAATATTCATTATATGTATAACTTAAACTAGCCCATATATAATTACAAATTTCGAGTCATACATATATTTTTTTGGCGGATTAATATTATTTATTTGTAAAGTTTTGATGGGTTAAAAGGAGCTTTTTCATATCAGAAAATGTAACAAATAGACTAATGAGTTTAAAAACGGATCATGTAAATATGAAAGGAATTTTTTCTTTATGAGGTTCATATTACTTAATGATTCATAATTAAATTAATTTTTCATGTATTAGAAAATTTCTGAAATTATATAAAATTCCATTTTCCCGATAATGAATTTTGGATAATATCTGAAACAAGTATGGTCCTCTCTCTCTCTCTCTCTGATTTTGAGATCATATCATTACTTACCCATGTCATGCTAGGGTTTGTCCATTGCCAGATTTAAATTGTCTGAAGTTGGGATTGGTGAATTTAGGTGAGATTTTTTTTTTTCCAGTATTTTTGCTCATTTCATTGTTTTTTATAAAATATAAAATCTTCTTTTTCTTTCTTAAAAGAAAAGAAAAGAAAAGTTGCCATCATCATTGAAACAATAAAATAGTATGTTTTTTAAAAGAGACGGCACGTCACTGTGGGACATAATAACCAATATTTGAAAAACTATAAATGTTGTTAATAATTAAATTGCATTATTGCAATATGGATTAGACCTATAACAAGTTGATGTTAAAAAAAGATAGAATAGATCACATTTAAAAAATGTTAAACTCTATTTAACACCATTCCTAGTGTTTTAAAAAAAAACAATACTTTTTTATATTTATATATGCTCTCTAATAATCAAAAAATAATCTAATTTTCGATTTACTCTTAATAAATAAAAAAGGAAAATCAAATTTAATTTTTAAATATTTATTCATAATTTATAGTTTTACAGAAAATAACTTTAGATAACTTTAGATATAGATTCAATAAAAAAAAAATAGTAAGTATAACTTAGTCAAACTTTTCCAAAAATTTATTATGATTTAATTTAGAACTTGCTATGGGTCATCTCCTCTTAATACGTGTGTCAATATTCATAATATCTACGATTACTATCACGCACCTCCACTTAATTAGCCGCAGTTGGCGACCTAATTTTAATTTAAGCTCATAAGGATGGTTCACTTATTAAATTATTATAAATAGAATTTGATAATTTTATATATTCATAATTCATAAATAATCTTGATTTTGAGAATAATTAAGTTACCTCTTTTTACTTTGGAATGATGAAATGTCATGTTAGATATAACTATTTAAGCTATGTTTGATTTTACATTGAAAACCACACTATGGTCTTTATTTGTAAAATATGTGAGAATTAATTTTGGCCCCCACTTTCTTATAACGTTTCATTTTTGGCCTCTTCATGTGTCAACTTCTAATTCCATCCTATATTGGTATATTTAGCTGAGCATGAAAGTGCTCGAGTACATATTACTAATTAGCAACTACTCCGTGGAATACGGAATACGAAATACCATACAACTACATTAATATTGGCCCTTTAGCCTGCTTCAACCATTACATGGGAACATCCAACGATATATATATATATATATATGTTACTTAAGGTATCTCACAATTAACAATCGTGAGATTAATCTTTTAAAAAATTTAAGTGATATTTAAAGAATTATCCTTTTTTAAACAATTATTTTTTCATATACACTTCCAAAAATTAAATTTGGAATGATGTATGAGGAGCCCAGACTACTATTACCTATACTACACCTACCTAATTTGAAGGATATATTATTTAGTAATTACTAATTAGAAATGATCTAAAACTTGCAATAATAACATTATATTTTGGCTTAAAAGAGATGTTTATGTGTAGAAAACAAACATGAGAAAAAAAAATAGCAACTAAATTTGAATCTAGTTAGAGTTAGTTCTTCACAACACATGGCAAACCAATATTAAATTTTTATTTGATATAAAAAGACATGTCTGTGTGCAATAAAAAAAAATAAAAAGACATGATTGAATCACATGCATGTTATATATTTAATATTTTATAGTAGTGATGTATGTATATGATACGCGGGTCGGCATGCATTGATTACTGGCTTGAAGATTGTGTGTTTTGTTTAATTGAAATAAACATGCGATAGTGATGGCTAACTTCGTTAATCAGCCCTAAGAAAAAATTATTATTCTTGAATTTGGTTTATGTGAGGCAAATCAAAGGAAAAGATCAAATCCTACCTAACAAATTAATTAATACATATAGCACATAGTCCTTGTCTCTCAATTATTCCATGCCCAACAGCAATTCCAAATTAACAAATTATCATGCACGTTATCCTTTTGTCGCCATACATATATACATACATACATATATATATAAGGGAATCACGTGAATTAATTGTTTTATTATCTACTCATTGACATGTATTATTTAATATTGATGAATTTGTCTAACTTATTTTCGTTACCTTTGACCATTTCAAGTGTCACGGATGTTTTTATTCCGTCCACATCGATTCGCATGCTCCCAGGTAGCATGTCAGAGAATTATACCTACAGTCATGCGTGGGTTTCACAATTTTTTCAAGAAATGTATAATTTATAAAAATAAATTGTTCATAAACATGCATGCATCAGTAGTGCTCTTTGATTTTTTGCAGTCTTCTTTTGAGCACCTAATGCATAGAAAGATCTTAAAATTACACTGCTGCAAGCATACAATAATAATTTTTAGTCTTGTACTTTTCATTAATGTATGTTGTTTGAAATTATGGACAATTATGGTTAAATAGATATACCATTTACATTCAATATACTTTAGAGGAGATTAATATATAGTGTTGGTCGAATATGTTCCATGTGTCGTCTCACCAAAAAAATTACGAACATGGATTAGGAGATGAAAAAGGCTATTAACTAGCATACAATAATAAAATCTAATTATGTTAGCAAAAATATTATTATTCTATTTTTTTCAGAGGCAAATATGCTACTCCTTTCATCATCATCGGCAAATAATTAATACTTCCTTAAAATTCTAAGACGAACATGATTTCGATACAAAACAAAAGCTTTAAAGTAACAGATATTTTAAAATTAATGACTTAAATAGAGAAGCGGCGTAGCATGTCATTTATTTTATATATGTTGTAATTGAGATTTGGATTTAAAATAGTTCTGATAAAAAAGAATTTAAAATTTTTTTTATTTTAATTATGAGTTTAAAAATAAAAATAAATTAAAAAATAAAATACAAATTGTACGGATCGCATCCAGATAATTCAAAGCTATCAACTAATAATTGATCAAATTGGTAGATTGATAAGATTTGAATTATATATGTTTCCTCCAAAGTATGTAGAGCCTTAAAAAAAGTACATGCTCAAGATTAACGTCTACAAAAATCACATGATTCAAAAGGAAAAGATAAAAAAATGATGAAGACAAATAATTATTAGTGTATTAACATTAGCTTTAAACTTTTAGATGATCATTTTTCAAATATAATTTCTTGAAGATACATGGGTCCGCTTTTACTTATCAGTTAAAACTGGAGCTACCATGTGATTTAAATCTTGTAATGTATGCCAATGGCCACTAAACTATTCATGAGATGGTTAATTATGCGTAAATCTCAATGTAATTAATCCTGATTTGCCTTGTTTGGCCGGCCAACTATCACACCACGTGAAGAATATTCCTAAGACTCTGTCCGATAGCAAGAAAAGAACTATATTTAAAACGCAGGAAAATCTTCAAGAAACCACTATACATACTGTACTTGTGAGCTTCAACTTCATTTCATATCCAATGGGGAAAAAAACCCTAATAATTCGATCAGTTCTTCAGCCATGATCAGAACAACCACAATAATGGTGGTGGCTCTTGTGTTTCTAGCCTCCATTATGGCGGCCTCAGCCTCTTCGGAACCCTACCTGATCCATCCTCTTCGACTGAAAACTCGGTTGGGTTCTTATGGAGCTTCTCTTCAGGGAATCAACTGTGCAAGTTGGAGACTTGGGGTCGAAGCTCATAACATTATAGACTGGAAAACTGTACCCAAAGAGTGTGAAGGGTATATCGGGAATTACATGTTAGGTTTCCAGTACAGACAGGATTCTAAAGCTGTGGCTCGTGAAGCTTATTTGTATGCAAGGAAGCTCAATCTCACTGGGGATGGTAAAGACGTTTGGGTCTTTGACATTGATGAGACTACGCTCTCTAATCTTCCTCATTATGCTAGACATGGCTTCGGGTACGTCCTATCCTGTATTCTTATATTCTTTTTAATTTGTTGTTATATCATACGGTGTTCCAAAATCGCAATAGACTCTAACTAATCTAAATCAAGTTGAATATATCGGATCGCAGTGACATATGGTAAAGTTTTCCCAGTGAATTTTTTACGCACTATACATGGGCTCAAATCCGAGATAGATATTGATTAAGCTCATTATATTACAAAATAATAATAATAATAATAAAACCTATGAGAACACTTCTTTTAGCTCTTGATAGCACTGACTATACAAGGATACTTTAAAAACTCTCAGGCATATCTATGGGAGCACTTTTGCTTAGAAGCAAAACACTCACTAGTAGTGATTATTACAATTCAGAGATGGCCCATTTACAATAAAATTGGTCCATGATTCACAATGAGTAACCTATCATTGTTGTTGTGATTGTTTGGACTTGTTTAATTTTAGAGTGCGTGTGTAGGGAGGGTGTTGTTAGAACTAATTAGAATGAGAAATGAAATTATGTGATGTGGTGGAATTACTGTTGTTGTTGATGTTTAAAAATGCATGGGAAGGGTGGAGCCATACAATGCGACGTCGTTTAACAAGTGGGTGGAGGAAAAGAAGGCACCGGCACTTCCAGAGAGCAAGAAACTGTACGGCAAGTTGCAGAAACTGGGCATCAAGATCGTATTCTTAACAGGAAGGCCTGAGTCCCAAAGGAATGCTACAGCTTACAATCTTCGGCTTGCCGGCTTTCGTTCCTGGGAGAAATTGATTCTCAAGTAACCTCCTTTTTCTTTCTCATAACTTTTAAATATCATCGTATCATAAAAAGGCGAAGTGTAAGAAAATTGATGCCACAAGAGTTTAGATGAATCATATGCATCTAGCTTAAATAATGAAATTAGGTTCGTATAATACATATATAATGAAATTAAAACTCTACACTATAATTGATGATTGATTTAGAAATAATTAAGGAAAGAAAAATAAGCGGGAAGAAATCTGGGTGGTTTGCAGGGATGGATGTGATTGATAATATAATAATCAAATTATAAAGTGAAGTTTCAAATGTATATTTAATTAATTAGGGTGCTAGACGTTCAGGTAACGTGCTTAATTAATGGAATATTAATAATAAAGTTAAAAATCTGGTAGCATGAAGCATGAGATCAGATCGGGGAAGTTGAATAGAAACAAAAATAATGATAATGGACGGAGTTAGAGTTACTCGGAAAGTAAACGACAATGTGTGTTGGTGTGTGGTTGCAGAGATGGGTCGTATGGAGGGAAAACGGCAGTGGAATACAAATCGGCAGAGAGGAAGAAGGTGGAGGAGAGTGGATACAGAATTGTAGGGAACATAGGAGATCAATGGAGTGATCTTCTGGGAACCAATACCGGCAAACGTACTTTCAAGTTACCCGATCCCCTCTACTACATTAGTTGATCTGACATGTATCGTATCTGTAATGTGTCTCTGTTATTTCCAATCATCATGCCATCATCTCTACGTACGTTCCGCAAGTTTAATTAATGTTTTGTGTCGCTTCACTCTGTCATTGACCAAAAATTGATCAAATATTACGGACCAGATGGGTTCACAAATCTGGATCATCAAGATCAAATTAAATTTCGTCCATATTTTAAACGTGTGTGTGTGTGAAGAATTTCAATTCTTAATCTTAAAAATGTAAGGTATACAAGATACAAAAAAGTTGGATGGATATTTACGTGCTATGTATGTATGTATGTTAGAGATCTTGAACTAAAAGAGTGAAAGATGACAATGACAGCAATTATCACAACCTAGCAAATTAAAATTTAGACTCTCACAAACAAAAATACTTACATTTAGTATACAGCCATACTTTAATCATAATTATTTTTAATAGAAAAATACTTGCGAGCTATGAAAAAATGAGACTACTATATATTTATTCATCTCGTCAATACTCTTATAATTTCATTCTCAATCTTACAATGAGATGTATTATTTCTGCCTCCAGATAAAAAAGGTAATTAATTATTAGATGTCATACAATAAGCATCAGTTTATATAGTGTTTAAGTGGGGGAGGCATTTATATTTAATGATTTGTCTTGAATATAATTACTTATAATAGGAGAATACCTATAAGTAATATATATATATATATAGTATTAGGTAAAAAAAAATTGTATGGTAGTGAAAATTTTTATAAGAGCAAATGGGGTACAGAAGAAAAACTGAGCGGGGTGAGAAATGATTTTTTCTTTTTGTGAGATTTGAATTTTTCCAGATACATTATACACATACAACGTGAGTCCCCACCCATGAGTCGATGACATTATAACGCTTGAAAAGGAAAAAGTTGGCTTCACAAGTTAACTTAATTCATAAATCAATAATGGCTGCATGAAACTAGTTCAGATGGTAATTAGGATTTAGTAGGGCATGAATGGAGGCTAAAATTCAAATGTTTAAATTCTTCCAGTGTATTAAAGAAATCATAAATTAATAATTACATAGCTGAATTTATGCGTTACAAATAGAACATCCACTATGTGACAATATTTTTTTTAAAAAAATGTCTAATATAACTTACTCAACCCTTTGGGGAACATCAAAATATCAGCCAAGAAAAAAAAAACAGCATTAGAAAAATATCAGGGAAGTCATTTTAACATAATGATAAAATGGGCCGAGTAATGTGTTCAATTGGAGGAAAAATTTGGCCCACTCAATCTTCAATAGTAATGCTTGAGCTTATACTCATTTCAGGCCCACTACGCCTCAAAATTTTTAGGGTTTTGTGGCCTCCTCAATTCATTTTCTTGTGTATGCACAGGCCCGAATCTCATCCATCGTCCCTGAACGTTTCCTCTGTTTAGCTGATGCTCTTTTGATCTCTGGGTTTCGTAGCTAATAGTTTCGAATATTTGGATTTTCGATGTCTCGAATTGAGATTGGGATGCAGAGATTGTGTGTATCGGTATTGTGCTTCGATTCCATGCACTCTTCCGAAAGTGTTCTCTGCTACACAGATTTAGGGAAGAAGGGCAGTTGGGTTTCATCTTTGTCATTGGATTTCACAACAATCATCTTCCCTTCATTTTCCACTTTCTATCATTCTTTTAACTGGGAGGATTATTGTGAGAATGGCCTTGTTAACATCTAATTCAGCTCTAGCAGGGATCTCAATGTTGAAATCCTTATGCTGTTGCTGCACGGCAATTCTGCAGTTTGGAATTTTCGGCTTAGGAGCTCTCCGTACTCCCTGAACAATTCACGGAATCGTGGTCTTCTAACACTATATAATATAAATCATGTGGATAAAATCTGAGTAATGATGTCTATGCTACAATCTTCGCAGTTTTGTTCTTGTGGCAGAGGGTCGATAACTTCTCGAGAACCTGCTGTGTCGAGTGAGCCGTATTTCTCTGGACTCGAACCCAAACAGGATACAGAATATCAAAACCATCGCATGAACCCAGGTTTTTCTATCACATCAATATATATAACATGATGATAAATGAATCAAGGAGCATTAAACAAGATAAATGATATTAAGCATTAAATTAATTTTTTTGGCATACAGCATAAAATCAAAATATTATGGCCTGAATATAGCTCATATCGTGGCCCAAAAGAGAAGAATATAGCTTATACTATGCAAGTTTTGGGCAATGGGTGTGTTGGGTCTGGCGGGCGAATCAAGATTTGAAGAGGCTCTCCGTGCCTCAAACAGCAGGAAAATGCGGATAACCAAAAAAAATCCCAGGCTTCAAGAGCCGCTGGATAGGGATTCGCTCTTTCCTTTTGCCTTTCGTTTAGAGAGCTTGTGGTTGGATCAGATCATTGACAGGAGCAACCGAGCAAATAAATGTGTTGAAGCAGAACTTGCTGCAATTTGCATAGCTTCAGGCCATTCTAAAACAAGATGGTATTGTTTGAAGAAAGTAAATTTTAACAGGCTGTTGAGCTGAGTTCTACATTGGGATAATAGTTTCGAATATTTGGATCATACCAAGGAAGCCTGATTATGACTCTTATGCATATTTAACATGGGATCATGTTGTGAACAAGGATATCTCAAGCGTACTTTATTAAATCTTATTAATAAATTGGGACAAATCAAGTTCTAAGGGAAAAAAAATCCAAATTATGGTCCCTAAATAGTAGATAAGCATCACTGATGATACGCATGCGATTTGCAGTCAGAAATTATGGCAGCCCATTTTAAATTTGATAATATAATGGACTATACGAACAGTCTAATTCGGAAGAAGCTGGCTTGCTTCCTAGCGTCGTGAAATGTTGAAGGGTCAAATATTCCAAAAAGCTATTTTTCTTGCCGGCGGGCGGAAAAACTCACACGGCATAATCGCCAGAAATATCTCCATCTGCATTATTATTAACGGGAATATGAATGATTTCACAGTTTCGCACTACCCCGGTGCGCTGACCAAAACGTGATCATCATTTTGTGTCATACTCCTTTAAAAAAAATTAAAGTATTTTTATTCAAATCTTAACTCTAAATAAAATAATTATTTAATATTTTTTATATTTAACTCTATTTTAATAGAATGATTCACTTTAAATAAATATAAAGTGATTTATTTAATAAAAATATTTTTTTAAAAAAAAATTATTAATTTTAAAAGATTAAAAATATTTATATTTTTTAATATTTAAACTCTCAAAAAATAATATATATTTTGATGAATTTAAAATAAAAATCATACCCATTTTAGCTGGCAAAAAATCATATAACTTTATTAATACAACGAAAAATCATATCATATTCCCTATTAAATTATTGTTGACTTTGTAATGGCCTGATGTGAGAATGGAAAGGGAGGTGAGAGAAAGGAGAAAGTGAGGGAAAAAAAAGTTGGAAAGCTAAAAATTCTTCACCAATAATTAAATATATCTACAACCGAAAAATCCTAAAATTATTTATAGAGTTTTTAAAACTTTAAGATGATAACAAATCTCATCCTAATCCTACACTTAAGTAAAACATAATAAGATAATTTAGATTTACTGATATACTGTTTTATTAAAAAATAAATAAAATATAAAATAATATTAAAAAATATAAATGATAAGAAAATTTAATTAAATTCTAACTAATCTAGGAAACATTTTAAGGGTATAATTATTTCAACTTATTTTATGAAAAAATAATTATTTTTTTAAATATTTTATAGTGTTTATGATGTTTGTTTAAAATTTTTAAAATAACTAGAATAAAAAATATTTATGATTATTTTTGAAGATATCATAAAATTTTAAAATAATTAAATAATAAATTATTTTTAAAAAATAAAAATAACTAACCAATAATCACTTTTTTATTATTGTAACGAAATATAAAATAACGCCTATCTTTTATAAAATCTCTACAAATTAAATTACTTATTTTTTCATCTTAAATAAACCAAACACTAATATTAATATATATAGATGTGTGTGTGTGTGTGAACAGAAGTAAGATTAGACGTTGAAGGGAAGTGTCCGTTGTTGTGAGTGTTAATGGAAATAGTAAGGATAAGTGGATGGGGTTCAATTCAAATATAGGCAAATTGCCCACCAACGACTACAGAGATTGTAAGCATCATCGCTTTGTTTCTAGTTTGGTCTTCAACAAGTGAAAGTTTGTGCTAATTGTGTTAAGGCAATAAATCTTCTCACCCGTGTTGAAGTTGAAAAACATTATACTGTTGATGATCATTGATTATGCTAGATTTTTGTTGTACAAGATTAGTTATGTTTTGTTGAATTTCATGTTTATAGGGACAAACTGATATTTCCATTTCCTATTTAGTCATGCCTCTTTTCTTTGTTTTTTTTTTCTTTTTCCTTTTGGGTAAACAGTCCTGCTTATGTTTCTACTGGTTTCTTTTCTTTTTTTAATCAACTTTCACTTAAAAAAAAAAAAACTAATCAACCTCCACTTTATTGAGAATGATGAAAAATATGAAGAGATGGGCTTCTAATTTGAATTAACTGTATCAAATTTTTTATTAATGTTACCACCTTTTATTCAATATTTCTTCTATGTTATTTTTGAAAGAGTTTTTCTATTAGAAAACATAAGACACTTGGGTACATAAAAATTTCATTAAATATATATTATTTTTTTTTTTATAATTAATTTTTTTTAATATATTAAATGATGACTATTTTTAAAAATTCATATTTTTATTTTGAACAAATACAGTTGTTAAGTATATTTAATAATATTTATTGATATGTAAAATTTTATCGAAAAATTTCTTATAATTTTAAGAAGGAGGGAGTATATGCATAATTATAATTATAATAATAAATATTTATATCAAATCAAATTAAAATTAAAAAAATGATAGTATTAAAGAAATATTAAGTTGAGGAGACATAAAACTAGACATTAAAGCTAACTATCATCGGATGATCAATAATCAATCAATTGTATTAATTAAAAGATTAAAAAGATTAGATATTTTAAAAAAAGATATATGTTTAAATTTGAAAATAAAACTTAGAGGCAAAAAATAATGAGTGACACGACATATGTTCTTTTTCCTCAAAAAGTGACGTCAGTTTGAATAAAATTATATTTAATTATTTAATTTAATCATTTAAGTGATTGACGGATCCATCGTGATTGTATTTAATTATTAAAATTTATATTATATTATTATTACTATATTTATCATGAAAAGGGAAAGGCAATAGTTCGAACGCGAGAGAGAGAGAGAGAGAGAGAGAGGGGGCAAAGAGGAAAGGATGCACGAGAAACGAAGAATCCAATTAATATCTCAGAAAATTCAATTACCCGCGAACCCCACCCACCGCGATCTTCCGGCTCGCTCCTGATTCCGGTCCTCTCTGTTTCCTTCTCAACCTCACCGACGCTATCATCCTTCTCGGCTTCGTCTCTGTTTTCCCTTATTTTCCATCCTTTGATCCGATTTGGTTATAACATTAACATCTTCATAATTTCTTGCGGGAATTCCCCCTTTTTTCCACGGCCCTTCTTGGGATCTAGGGCTTTGATTTTCTCCACTTCCGCTCGCATTAGGTCTTTCCTTATATTATTATTTGTTTAGATCTTTTCCTAGTGTCGGTGTTTCTTGAGTTTTAGGGTTCCGATTTTTTGTTTAATCCGATTTTCGTATTCGGGGTTTGTTTTGAATTCCCGTTTGGAACCAGTGGGTTTCTATTTCATTTTCTTTTCGTTAGGTTTTGATAGGACCATTGTTCTTCGAAAGAGAATAGAAAAGGAAAAATCTTTTTACGAGGTTGAGATGAGTAACTCCGGAGGAGTGACGGCTTTGTCGCAACCTTTCCAGTCTGGGGCGAAGCAATACGGCGTGACGAAGCCGATATCAATGGCTGGGCCGACGGCGGTTGATTTACAAAGGACCTTGGAGTTAGAGAAGGTTTGATTTTCCGTGTTAAAGTACCTTACTTTTCGCAGGTCTAAACACTAGATGTTGAATTATTGATAATTTTTTTCTTCGGCATGGAAGTTTCTGGTTCACTCTGGGCTATATGAGAGCAAGAAGGAGGATGCTAGGAGAGAAGAGGTCCTTCATCGACTTGGACAGGTGATTGTGCATCTCTTCATATTTACGGGTTCTCATTTTGATGTGTTTTTAGAGCAAATATACCTTCACATTGTTGGCTTACGGGGATGGAACTTTTAATGGGTAGCCTTGGTGTGTCGTCGCATAACTGTTAAGGGCTTAAATTTTATTGGGATGGGCGGTGCTGGTCGTGAAGTGTTAGTAATCATGATCTGTATGTTTGAAATTTGAATTGATCTGGATTGATGTTTCTATTTAGCATGAAGGAATATATTCTAGTTGTTATTTTTTTTCCGGCAAGATATTCTAGTTGTTGTTTGCATGCATGTTGAAGTGATTCTCTACTTTTCTCTTTTATTTGTTGTAGTTACGGAGGTACTAATTTTGTCATGTTATGACAACCCGCTGCTTCTCCCTCGCCACTCCTCCCCCAAATTAATATTAACTTTGCTGTAAAATTTTTGTTTGTTCCAGATAGTAAAGGATTGGGTGAAGCAACTTACTCGACTAAGGGGATACACTGATCAAATGGTGGAAGATGCAAATGCTGTCATACTCACATTCGGTTCTTATCGACTAGGCGTGAGTTTGTTTGATGCTTTTTTGATGTGCGGTGCATTTTGACTCTGGAATTTGCCTTGGAATGACTGCTGTGTCATCCTTAAGCCAAGTTTTTTTTTTTTTTTTTCATTTCAGTCTTTCAGTCTCTCTGTCTTGTAACTCCGGGCAATGCTAATGCTGCTGCCCTCTCATCCATGGTGATAAATAGTGTTTAGTGTCTAGTATTACATTGAGCATGTTATCTGAAACATGGTAATGTAAATCAGAATGGAAAGTCATCTGTTTCCCTCCATCTATATCGAAAATACATTACTGACAAAAAATTTAGTTCTATTTTTAATGCTTCATCAATGCCAGTAAATGCAATGATCTAAGTTTTGTCTATTTGTAGAAAATTTAATGTCGATAGCCTATCAATGATTTATGCGTGTAGTACTTTGTTCCAAAGATATAGATTGGGGAATTCAGTCTCCTCTATCTTGTGCGGCATGTGACCTGGGATTTTTAATTACGTTTGCACTAAACTTTGTCTGGAGTAAGTACTTATAGGCTGTAACTCAATGTCATTAAAGAACTCACTTCTAGCACACTTGCATAATTATTAAACTAGTCCTTTAGTTTCTATATCATTCATCACCGCAGATTCAGAATTTACCATAACATTCTGATATACACTCTCTGCTAACTAATCACTTTTAAGGAGTTAAACAATGCCTCTTTCTTTCTTTGAAATAATATCCATAAATGAATTTTTATGGTGTAGGTTCATGGTCCTGGGGCAGACATAGACACGTTATGTATTGGACCAACCTATGTGAACCGAGAGGTAAGTTGGGAATGCAAATGTTATTCATATGTGCGCTTTGTCTATATTATCATCTTTTTCTTGGGTTGTAACTTTTTTTTTTCCCCCATCAGGAGGACTTTTTCTTTGTATTGCATGACATTCTAGCTAACATGGATGAGGTGTCGGAACTGCAACCAGTTCCAGATGCTCATGTACCAGTTATGAAATTCAAATTTGATGGAATATCAATTGATCTCCTGTATGCCAGTATATCTTGCTTGGTTGTGCCAGAAGTAAGTGTTTAGTCTCAGTTTCCTATTTCCACTCATTGCATGATTAAAATTAACTACCTTGTATCTGAATTGCAACAAACATTTCCTTTTAGTCCATCATGTGTTTTCACTCATTGCTGCTAAGGTGTTTAGAGATTTTTATTATTTCCTTTATCTTTGGAAGTTAAAATGGAAGACATGTATTCTGGATGTGGCTTTCCTAATGTGTATTATTTTGTCAAGATGAAATTAGAATGATGACTCTTGTTCTTTTTTTTTTCTTTGGATGTTTTGGGATTTTTATTGCCTAGTCTTTTTTCCCTTTTGGTTTTGGAACATCATTTATTTCCAATTATGAACAGAACTTGGACATATCTGATTTATCTGTCCTATACGATGTGGACGAGCCTACTGTTCGAAGTCTGAATGGATGCCGAGTTGCAGATCAAATTTTAAAGCTTGTTCCAAATGTTGAGGTAATTTATCTGTCTTCATTTATTCCTGAAATGTAGGAATTGGTTCCTTCAGAAATGGCTTTGTGGTAAGAGGTAGGTCTTGCTGTGTCCATAGCCAAGTCCAATTAATTTTTTCTGCATGTTCTGGTTGGTAGCACTTTCGAACAACTCTCCGGTGCTTAAAACTTTGGGCTAAAAGACGAGGCGTTTATTCCAATGTGAGTAGCTTTTTTTTTTGTCCTTTGTTTTCCATGTAGTTTGTGGTTAATTTTACTTGCAATCCCCATCCATACAGTTAATGACTAAGCTCTACCTGTTCTGAATTTTCCACCATTCTTTTTATAACGCTCAATTCAGGTGACTGGATTTCTTGGTGGTGTGAACTGGGCCATTCTTGTTGCTCGAGTGTGCCAGCTCTATCCAAATGCAGTTCCAAGTATGCTTGTCTCTCGATTCTTTCGGGTGTATACTCAGTGGCGCTGGCCAAATCCTGTTATGTTATGTCCAATTGAGGAGAATGAACTTGGATTTTCTGTTTGGGATCCTCGTAAAAATCCTCGTGACCGAAAACATCATATGCCCATCATTACTCCTGCCTATCCCTGTATGAATTCTAGTTACAATGTTTCAACAAGCACACTGCGTGTTATGATGGAACAGTTTCAATATGGCAATAAGATATGTGAGGTAAGGGTGGGTTCAAAGATGCTGGCTATGATTTAGGTTCTAAGCCTTTTTGCCATGTGTAACTGATGCTGATACTTTGTTCTTGTTTAACCAATCCAGGAAATAGAGCTGAATAAAGCCCATTGGAGGCGTATGTTTGAGCCATACCTTTTCTTTGAAAGCTATAAAAATTATCTGCAAGTTGACATTGTAGCAGCTGATGCTGATGACTTGCTAACATGGAAGGGTTGGGTGGAATCTCGACTTCGGCAGCTGACTTTGATGGTATTGTATCTTAGATTTTTGTGGCAAGCAATGAGGCTAGTTCTATATGTTCCATTGGATTGAAGAATTTTGCTATGATGACCACAAATACCATCTTTTCTGACTCATTGGTTGCTATCAAATATTCTTTGCAGATTGAACGTGACACTCTTGGGAAGTTGCAGTGTCATCCTTATCCTCATGAGTATGTGGATGCTTCTAAACAATGTGCACATTGTGCTTTCTTCATGGGCTTGCAGAGGAAGCAAGGGGAGATTGTTCAAGAAGGTCAACAGTTTGATATACGGGAGACAGTTGATGAGTTTCGGCATTCTGTTAATATGTACATGTTCTGGAAACCTGGGATGAAAATACACATTTCTCATGTTCTTAGAAGGCAAATTCCATCATATGTTTTACCTAATGGTTTTAGCAAGAGATCTCGACCATCAAGGCCAACAGCACAAGTAGAAGAACCTGCTAAATCATTTCATGTAGATGAGGTGTATGGGACTGAACATGTTGAGGGAAACCGTAAGAGGAAAAATGGGGGCAGGGTGGGTGAGAAGCATGGTGTTGCTGTAAAAAGGCTTTCTAGTAGTCCTTACAGGCAAGATTCAGTTTCTTCAGATGTTTTGGATAAGTCATCGGATAGCTTGGGTAGCAGTGCAAGAAGCAGAATGTGCCAGTTTGAAGTGAACAGATTTCAATGTTTGGCTTCCAATGGTTTGTCTATTGGTGCCATACCTGATGGTCAAGAGTTGAGATCTATGGAGAGCATTGAATTGTCCTACAGAGGGCAAAATGATATGAATAAAGGAATGACATCTCCTGAACAAGAACCTGAATCTGCATCAAATTCAAGTGTCATTACATCTGCCACAAGTGATGGTGGTTCTTCAGAGGATGTTGGGTTTGAATCAGTGGCAGACTATGGCGGGAATAACATGGGAGTTGAGGGGACTGTTGGAGAAGGTGATGAGCTGGCCTCTTTGCAGGATGTTACATGTGGGAGAGAATCTGTTGCACTTCTGGAGAATGCAATTACAAGTGGAAAAGGATCATTGCAGCGATGGAACAGTACGAGGTTTTATTTTCCAATTTCTTTCGCACTTCTCATTGCTTATTGATTTGTTTTTGCCTATGACTTGATCTATATATCATATACTTATATTACACTGTTTGACCATTTTATTCCCCCAAAAAAAAAAATGTTACTCGTGCTATTTAAAAGCTCTATCAAATGAATTGGCTGAATGTGTGTGTCCATACGGTACTTGAGGGTTCAGTGTGTGTCATTATTTTTGCATATTGTATTCTTCAGTTGATTATCTGATGTCGTGCACTGACTATTTACCTTTCCTTCTATAAAAATCTGTGTTAAATGCTGCAGTAGGAAAGGTGGTTGATTCCAGAGGGGCATAGATGGCTCAAGTTGTACAGAAGCCGGAGATAAGGCATGTTTTTTTGAACAATCACGACTGTTTTCGAAGCAAGTCTGTTCGTAATTTGTCTTTATGCTGTCGATTTTGTTTTGGTCCATGACAGGAGATTCAGTTTAACACAAATAACAAGGGAGATTGGAATGTAGCATCAACCAAGTGAAAATGACTTTAACATCAATTTCTGGATAGATCAAAATCTGGAGTGCGTGAGGGGGACAGCTGTGAAAAGAAGAAAAACCCATCAAATTCGGGTAAGTACTGAATTTAAATGGTGGCGTTCATTGCTCTTAACTCTTTTCAGGCACGCTTGGCCGTTCCTGCAACCTCAAAAATGTGGAACTTGTCATTAGCTGAAGAACTTCCAGCTGTGACAACTCGCTACATCTGTACAGCTCATAATCTTTTGGTGCATTATGGGATTTACGTCCTCTCAAGAGCTGGCTAGGATTGTCTGTGAACATCAGTTGGTGATCTGTCTTGTGGCAGATTTGTGACCTTTTTCTTGTGCGATTAGCTTTTAGTTCTATAATTTTTTTGGAGGGAAAAACAAGCAAAAAAGAGGGTGAGTTGGGGCTTGGCTACGTGTAGGGTTTGGGTATGAACTAGGGAAGATACATGGCAGACAAGTGTTTTGTAATTTCTGGCTTGACATAGTATAATACACCGTTATTTGACCTGTATGTTGCTTTTGTTTTTCGCATGGTCTGTCTGGTGCGCACGAGAAACGAGAGTTTTGGGTTTAAAAATAAAGGAAAAACGCATTCGTCGGTCTTTCTAATCTCATCGTATTTTTATTTTTAATTCTTGTAATTTTTTTTCCAGTTTTTTAGTCCTCGTAGTTTTTCTGAGATTGAGTGATTGTTATTTACATCTCTATAGTTTTTAGTGTTTTCAGTCCTCAAATGAAAATATTGAAAAAAAAATATATATGGACTAAGTGTAAAATTTTGATAAAATTATAAGGATTAATAATTGTGTTGTCACAATTAAAAACAAAACTAAAAACTGCTACTCCATATAGTGCCGAAGCAACTGTTTAAAATGGTTAATCAATGTATATATGAAGAAAATCCCAATCAAATATACTCATGTATGGTACAATGTGTATCAGAGAAAATGTGTATAAGAGAAAATATCTTTGCCAGTTACAAGATGCGACATTTTTGTGAGTGTTTCCATGTATATTGAGAAAATATAACACCAGAAATTCGGGAACTATTTTAACCATTTTTTTAAAATTACAATTAATTACGTTCATTTGATAAGGAACAAGGGAAAGAGGTCCACAAAAGTCAGAACAAAGAAAAAATAAAATTCCCTCTCGTTATTTACCTCCTTTACGCAAAAATCATTGAAGATTATGAGCTTTCCTAGCCAAATTATTTGCAGTACACAGGCTTCCCTAAAATAAATTTGTAGGAAACATGCCATTGTTGACAAAACAATTTGCGCTTAGCTTCCTAGATGATGTCCTAGCAAGGGACGTAGAACCTTTCCATTTCTTTATTATCATTCTCTCCACTTCTCCAAGATCATTCATCAAATCTATGATTAAAATATATTCATTTAGGGCCCCGTTTGGTTATTAAAGAGAAATAAAATGAAATAGAATGATTTATACAGAACAAAATAAACTAAATTAAAATTGTGGAATGATAGAGAGATTGAGTAAATAGAAAAATTAAAGTTATGTGGTGATGGAGGAGTGGAAATGGATATTCCCATGAATAATGTCATAAATCCTTATTCTCACATTTCTATCACTCCAAGGCTCTCTATCACCATTTTATAATTTTCATCTCCCTATCAATACACAACTTTATTTTAATCTATTTTATTTACTATTAACACATTCCTTTCCTTTTCATTTCATTTCAATAACCAAATGAACCCTTAATGCAGTCATATTAATAGTTATAATTGGAATGTAGAGGGAAAATGATAATAAAAAAAAATGGAGAGGTTCCACGCCCCTAATAAAAGTGTTGCATATCCTACTCGTTGATGGTGAGATTAATTACTTCAATACAATCGTATTAGACCTCCACCAGTTTGAAAGCCCTAGTCCAATGCAATTCAAGTCTTCTTATAACTTCTCAATTTCGGAAATGGGAGGTGGAAATACTCCCACATTACAACAAAACCCAGTAATCACATTTAGTCAATAGCTTCAATACCATCTCTTTGCTTAACCATCACCAGTGAAGAGTACATATTTTATGTTTTGCTCATTAATAAATAATAACTAGTAAGTGAAGGTACTACTTCTACAGACTTAAACTAATAAACTTGAATCTCACTCTCGTTATCATTCAGCCTTCAACATTCACTTACCTTCAAACCAACTCAAAGCTTTCCTCCTTCCTTTTTCCCAATCTACAATTATGATCCTTTCTTCAAGAACAAACAAACTCTGTTCAGTTAATTCTTATCAATAGAAAGCACATATTTTAATTTCATAAAAAAAATTGTACCAATTAGGGACTTCAAAAATTAATTCATGTTATATATATATATATATATATATATATCATTTGATAGGAATCAAGGGACAAGTCAGAATCCAACATTTGGTATCTTTAATTTATTATAAGACATTGTAAGATCAATAAGTAGATCCAGAGTTAAGAGAATGAAAGAAGCTCTAAATTCATTAATTAAAAATGTTTTAAATAATCAAGGAGTCCTGAAGGCAAATAAAATTCTAGAAAATCCAAGAAAGACTTTTAACATATTGAGCCTAATCCAAGATACTAAGGCCCGTGAGTCCAATTAATTTAGTTATTATTTTTTCTAAAATTTTGAAAATTAGTTTATATCATTTTAATTTTAAATTTAAGTTTAGGAAATTTAGTTTATTTTGTTTTAAATTCAAATAAGGATAAAATATATACATTAGGATATAATCTATCTATTTAGAATCTCATATTAGCTAGTATTACGTCGTTTAGATTTTTAGAAGCCTATTTAAATAATTAAGCCATTTGTATTTTTCATACTTGAGTGAATTTTTGAATTAAATTTTTTCAATTGTGAAACTATTTTAATTGGTGTTGTTCTCTATAAAATGACACACCATGAAATCTTGAGTTATCATGAGCTATCATTCGATTACCCCATATCATTTGGTATTCAAAGCCTTAGTGGCCTTTTCAAGTTGTGTCCTTCCATCATATTTTTGTATTGTATTTTTCAATATTTACCATACTTATTTTTCTCATTCATTCATTCCCTCTTTCATATATCATTCATTTTCATTGTGTTCTTTATTATTTATCGTATTTATTTTTTTATTCATTCATCCTTTCTTCGATATATCATTCATCCATTTTTTCATCCATTCTTTTATAAAAAAAAAAAAACTCTTTTGATTTGTTATTGATTTTTGCATCTCTTTCCTTTACATAGTTAGATTGAAACAAAAGGTAGTATGCTTCATAGGAAAAAGCCAACATCGTTATAGAAAAAAAAAAGAAACAAAAAAGATTATGCAAGAAAAATTGAAAAAAAAAAAAGAGTTGAAAAGAAAAGTTGATCTGAAAAAGTTTTTTTTTTAAAAAAAACAAGATAAAGAGAGCGAGATTCAGTCTGATAGAGAATAAGTTGATTATATATATATATATATTTGATTTAACGAATCTTATCATATCTTATGTACCATATCTTCTTTTATCTTATTTTATCCACCTTATCCACATATCTTATCTTATCATATTCTATTAATTTTATTTTATCTCACATACCTTTTCATATCTCATCTTTTACATTTCCTTTATAACTTAATGTTCGTTTCACCATAACTATTATCTCAAACTATTATTTCTCACCTAGAATTTTGCCAAATTGGAATTGAGTGAAAAGTGTTTAACTTCACGTTAAAAAGTGATAATCATAAGTGACATTTTATTGAGTAAAACACATGAATGAGTGTGCGATGTTCAAGTTTTTTACTTTGCTACACTAGCCTTTCAGGTACATCATGAGTAAGTATTCCTATTCAAGGGAACACTCTTCTTAAAAACTTAAAGTTGATTATGCTAAGCCTCTCTATGAGAAGCTTACTAAACTTATAAGAGAACTTAAAGAATTGAAAGTTTCCCAAGGAGATGAACATGATGGTTATAGTGAAGAAGAAGTTCATTCTAGGAGGAGAAAATCCCAAGCTAAATTTGGCCTTTCTGACTAAAAGGTTAAATACCCACAATTCAAGGGTAATCTAAATTCATATGTCAATCTTGATTAGGAATTTAAAATGAAGCAAATGTTTCGATTACATACCTAGTAAAAGGAAGGTAAAAATCGTTACCCATCAATTTTTTAATTATGTACTAATATGGTAGGAAGATTTTTTATTGAAGCACCAAATCATCAATAAAAAACCTCCAAAGTCTTAGGAAAAGATTAAAAGGTACTTGAGAAACAAGTAAGTGCGTAAGTACTTGAGAAACAAGTAAGTGCGTAAGTACTACTATAGGGAGTTAAAAAGGAGGTTGTGGTTGTTTAGCCAAGGTTCAATGGATGTGAAGGAGTATACACATGAGCTTGATGAACTTAAGATGCGAGTTGGAGTACATGAAGATGATAAAGCTTCCAAGATTCAATTTATTAATAGGCTTAGGCTAGAAATTAGAGGAAAAATGGAAACGTAGACCTTTATAAATAAGGAAAAACTTGTGCATAAAGCTATCAAAATTGAGAAATTTTTTTGAGAGAAATAATCAAAACTTACAACTTCTAATTACAATATCTTTAAATCAACCTCCAAACTAAAGGATGCTAAGGCTTAAGAAGAAGCTAAGCCTATGCCCGAAGGCTGAGACCAAGGAAGAATTCAAGTCCAAACATGATGGCGAAGGTGTATCAACTACTAAAGCTTTGGTTACCACCTGTTCTCTACAAGTGCAACCTCAACTACAAAGAGCAAGAACTCAAGAAAAAGATAAATTCAAAGACTAGCTCTAATTCAAAGTAGATAGAATCCATAACAATTGTTGTCCTTGAAAATGAGCTAGAAGTTGAATCAATAAAGGAGGAAGAAACATTTAATGTTGAAAAAGAACAAGAGGAAGACGAATTTGATGATACAATGATGAAAGTTGATAATAAATATTCAAGCTCACCATTTGAAGATCCTCAAAAGTCAAGGATGACTCTTCTTCAAGAGAAGTAGAATGATGTCATTCTAGGTGGCTTTCAAGATGGCATCTTATGTGGCAATCAAGTCTTAAATGACAATATATGTGGCAACAAGTCCTAGGTGGTATACTATGTCACCTAGTTATCCAAAGTTGAGTCATCTAAGTAGAAGAAAGCTCGATTGTAGATATTCATAATTAAGAGGCTATAATATGTATTAAGAGCCCAAATCACTATATTAAAGGTTCAATACATAAGTATGCACTTGAAGGAGGCAAATTTGGCCATAATCTTACTTTAAGCCTAAATGCATATTCTACGTCTTATTCTCCTTTTGAGGTGAAGGCTTTAGTTGAATGATGAAATGAGTAGTATGCTAAGCAAGCTAACAAAGGGTATGAGAAAGTTGTCTCTGAACTTGAAGATTGGATTTGGGTGTTTAGGAGATTTTTAAATTTGAGGAAGATAGAGTTGCATCCAATAGGCAATGAACCTTTTCAAGTATAGAAATAAATTAATGATAATGCCTACAAAATAGACTTTTCTAGCTTCTATGAGAATGTGTTAGTTACATTTAACATTATAGACCTTTCTTTATTTGATACATATAATTTGAGGATGAATCCTCTTCAAGAGGGAGGGAATGATAGAAATCAAGAGATGAGTCAAAATCCAACATTTAGTACCTTTAATTCATTGTAGGGCATTGGAAGACTAATGACTAGATTCAGAGCTAAGAGGATGAAAGAAGTTCTAAATTCATCAATTAAAATATTTTAAATAATCAAGGAATCATGAATGCAAATGGAGTTCTATAAGACTCAAGAAAGACTCTTAATGTATTGAGCCCAATCCAAGATGGTTAGGCCCATAAATTCAATAAGTTTAGTTATTATTATTTTTCTTAAATTTTAAAAAAATAGTTTATCTTATTTTAATTTTAAATTTAAGTTTAGAAAAATTAGTTTATTTTATTTTAAAGAGTTAAGGTTCAATTTTGTCCCTGTACTCAATTTTTAAGAGCGCTAGGCACCCTATACCCTTAAGTATGGCAAAATTCTTCCCGAACTATTTTTTAAGGAAGCAAAAATCCCCTTCTATTAAATAGCTATTTGTTCTCCCATTATATGATGACTTGTCCCGGTGTAGGGTCCATGAAAATTTGACTTGGCTTAGTCAAACTTCCTTTGACCTTCTACATGGCATCATTTCTTTATTCTTCTTCTCTCCTCTAGTTACAATGGTAGCAACATTCTAGATGCAAAAGTAGTGATTTAGAGGAAATGGCGAAGCTGAACCACCATTTGTCGATGATGCAATAAGAACCAATAGATTCGTCATTGCTAGCGACAACAAAAGTGGCAAAAAATATTATTAGCAAGCTTCTCACCCTAGCATTGGTGATCTTCTCATCCATCAGTGGTGAGCTTTTCTTCATTTTTCTTTAACCTTGCTAGCTCTTTACCCAACCTTCAGTGAGCTCTGCACCCTACCTCCAGAATCAACTCTCTCCTATGCCAGCAAAAAGCCGTTTGAAGATAATTGTGATTGTGTCATTGTTGACGATGGAATTGCCATTGCCTACTGGCAGCAACATTATCTCCTATGTTTCAAGTTCTCTTGCTTGATAGGTTGATTGAATTAGGTTTGGCCTATGCAATGAATTCAGTTGAGATCACAAAATTAAAACTAAAATTAGTGGCTCAAGCTCAACATTTGATCCTACTTGAAAAAAAAATAGTGCGACAGTAGAGGGGAAGAATGAAGAAGATGATGAGAAGGACATTTTTTTGTAGGGCCCACACCTTGAAAAGTCATTAGATAACGAGGAGAAGAAACAAATATTTGACAGAAGGGAATATTTGCTCCCTTAAAAAATAATTCAGGGAGAAATTTATACCCTACTTAAGAATATAAAGTGCCCAGTGCTCTTCAAAAAAAAGTATAGGAACAAAGTTAAACCTTGACTCATTTTAAATTCAAATAAGCATAAGATATATCCATTAAGATATGATCTATCCATTTAAAATCTTAAATTAGCTAAAATTATATCATTTAGATTTTTAAAAGTCTATTTAAACATTTAAGTCATTTGTATTTTTTATACTTGAGTAAACTTATAAATTAAATTTTTTTCAATTATGAGGTTACTTTAATTAATATTATTCTTTGTGAGATGACATACTGTAACATTTTGAGTTATCATTCAATTGCCTTATATCATCATTGATACCTCGATAATTAATAAAAAACCTAAAATTCATAACAAGTCACATTCTTTACTGCATGTGAATAGTGTGCCCATTCGTTTCACATACAAATGAAACACACACGCATATCGGACACTCATTGACTGCATGTCGTCCTCAATGTTTGTTTTACATGCTTCCTCGCCGAATGATTCTGCGCTTTATTTTTCTTTATTCTCTCTCTCTCAATTTCACTTTATTGGCCGCTATGCCTATATCATTAAATTGAAACTATATCACATTATTATTTGTTTTTTTTTTTTTTTCATTTTAAGAAAGTTTCAACTCCCGCCTCACCTCACCTGGATAAAAATATTATTTATTCATTGATGCAGACAAGTGCAATACTCCATCCCATTTTATTTATAAATTATTTGTAATATATTTTATTAAAATAAATAAGAATCTTAAAACTTAACAATTCCATTTAAGAATTTAAAAAATTTACAGCCATAATCTTATTAAATATATATACTTTAATAATACTCCCTCTGTTTAAAAATGTAAGGCATTTCTAATCGAATCTCACCCTTCAATAAAGTAGTCACCTACTTTTTAACTAACTCTATCTTTTTATATTTACCCTATTAAATACCCTACAATAAATATAAAGTCATTATCAATAAAGGCGCTTTAAAAAAAAGACAATAATTACACCTTAAAAGTCTAAGAATGCTTTACATTTTTAACATCTAACTCCTAAAAAATGCCTTACATTTTTTAACAAAGAGTGTATATTTTATTTCATCAACATGTAAAGGGGGTAAGGGATTTAAATATCCTAAAATTGAGATGTGTGAATTTATATGTAGTTTTTTTAAATATTTTTTGTCATTTATTTACCAAAAAATATTTTTTTGCATTTTATTATTTTTTATGAAATATAAAATCTTCTCTTTCTTTGTTTTTTTTTAAGACAAACTTCACACAAATTTACAGATATCAACTTCAAAGGATTTAAGTATGGGGTAAAAGAAAAAAATTATAATAAAAATTTAATGATAAACATATAAATATGATAAAAATTATTTTCTCTTTTATCTTATAAATAAGGTGGAAATCAAGTGGCATGTAATAAAAATAGAAGAGGTCAGTCACATAAGATCCAACACGTCAAAACAAGGATTTGACCATATTTTTAATTTTAATGTTTAAAGCTAGAAATTATTTAAAACCACAGGTCTATAATCCAGATGTTCACAGAAAAAAATTATAACAATTAAATAATTTTTTAAATTTACGAGTCCTATCCACTCTCTATTATTTAACTCGTGTGCTGTCACGTTCCTTGTTTCTACAGAAGGCATTTGTCTTGTCACTCACTATCTTGGTCCAATTCCCGTATGTGGCCACCTCTCACCAAATTTATGTTCGTTTCCCATCCAATCTCACTTGGACAACGCCACATCGCCCCCCCAAACCTTCCAATCCAATCTTTCAAGTCAAGGAACCTATATATATATATAATATAGTTCCACACTCTTTTCAACTTTATTATTGGGATCCATTTTTTCCGCCAAAGGTCAGAGCTTTTGGATTGATTGTTCTGAGTTAACCCAAATGAGGAGGGTGGTTATCGGAGCTACAGTGATAGGTGCCGCGACTGCGTGTGCGGTGGCGGTTCTTCTGGTGCGCCACCACATGAAGAAATCACGACTGTGGGCCAGAGCGATGGTCATTTTACAGGAGCTGGAGGAAAAGTGCGCCACTCCCATCGGGAAGCTGAAGCAGGTCGCCGATGCAATGACGGTGGAAATGCACGCCGGGCTTGCCTCAGAAGGTGGAAGCAAGCTCAAGATGCTCCTCACATATGTTGATAATCTTCCAAATGGGTATCATGACTCGCACTCTGTAATTTCTCATTTGATCTATGAATCACTGACATGACACCACACTTTAATTTGTCATTAATTGGTAGGCGAGCTTGAGCGCTCTTTTTTCCCGTGTCATGGTGTCTCTATCATGTTGTGTTCGTTATTTATTTGTATCAGTTTCAGTGGTAGCGTTTGATCCTCTATTTCAATGTTATCTGAGTTGGGTATAAATAAGTGCTTCATGATTTCATTGATTTCAGTTTAACAAGACGGCCCCTAGCCCAAAAAAAAAAAAAAAAAACTCAGATTTTAGAGGGCGCCTTGCATGGTCTGATTGTGTGTTAAACATGTCATTTTTTTTTTGTGTTGGAATTCTCCTGCTTATTAGTTCATTCATTTTGTTTCAGTTGTTGGTGATTGATTTGTTCATTTGTCAAGTCCAAACAATCATTTGGTAAATAATTGTCGATTTCTCTTGTTGATCCTCTGATTGATTATTCAAATTCTGTGCTCACAAAGTGCTTTTGCCCCAATGCAAAATTGCTGCTTGCTTGTGTTCTTGGTAATGGTGTCATTTTCTCGTGTGATTTGCCTGTGTCTTAATAAAATAGGTTCCTGCGGGCTGCAAAGCAAGAATTTACTCAGTCCTCTTGTGTTAACTCGATGTTTTCTGTTTTATATGTTTCTATCTTTGCTGGGAAACAATTTGAGAATTGCGACTTCAAAGACCAGCATCTGTGACTGGGGAGTCTTCCACGTAGATGTTTGATATGCCTCATTGTGGAAAGTTAGAATATATATGTGATATGAATATTTCTTAATTATCTGAGTTTTCAAATTTGGTATTGAAAATCAGGATGCCTGAATTAGATTCTCTTTTGGGTATGCATGGCATAGAAAATAAATTGACAATTTTTTTAAAAACTCTGTTTCATCTTTGACACTTGTATCCGTTATATTGTCTAAGATCAGTGCAGTATCAGTATCTCATACATCAACATCTAAGCTTTTAGAGTTGAACTGAAAATTTGCTCATATTTTCCGTCCCGGTTCAATTCTTTAAATTTAGCATTGAGATGGTGAGCAGATAATCAAATGCTTACTGTTTGGCTGTTATTGTGTATCCCTCTCCTTTCAGGAATGAGGAAGGATTATTTTATGCATTGGACCTTGGAGGAACGAACTTCCGTGTGTTGCGAGTGCAACTGGGAGGGAAGGATGGTGGTGTTATTAATCAAGAATTTACTGAGGTGTCAATTCCTACTAACTTAATGGTTGGGACAGCAGATGTAAGCTCTTATTGCCTAAGAACTGTCGTTCAATTTTGCTTTATTCAAGCTGAGTGAGAGCTATAATTAATTTAAAGAACATTTTGAATCAGGAACTCTTTGACTATATTGCAGCAGAAGTTGCAAAATTTGTTGCCAATGAAGGTCAAGATTTTCAAGTTCCTCTTGGTAGACAAAGGGAGTTAGGTTTTACCTTTTCATTCCCTATTATGCAAACATCAATTGCTTCTGGAAACCTCATCAAGTGGACAAAAGGCTTCTCCATAGATGACGCGGTTCATCCTCTTTTTTTTTTTTTTTTTCCTTTCCCTTTTTCCATATTCTTTAGTATTGAAGCATATTACGCTTGCAAGACCTGCATATTTCAATCGAAGAAAAAAAAGAATCTGCATCAACAACAATAAGAACAATATGCATGACATCTTCTATACGTTTATCTTATCTTTTTCTATTTTTGTAATATTGATAGTATAAATTGGCAACATGATTAATTTTATGAATTTAATTCATAATTTTATTATATATGCTGTCAGAGTTTTTCTTCTTTGAGAAAAATTCACAAGGTAATTGGTGAAACATGTATGGCTGCTCTCTTTGATAACTTAGACACCCTTAGAAGATTATATAGTCTGCCCTATGCCTCAGCTAACTTGATCTGCATCATAACTTGAGACAGGGTGTTAATTATCTCAATAATTTTTGAAAAGGTTTAGAGTAATTGCATCTATTTTCTTAGAAGTCTGATGAAGCTATACAATCTTGCTTTCGGCTCTTGCTATTTGCTCATAGCATCACTGACCAGAGACGAAATTCATGAGAACCCAGCCATTATCTCTTGTTAACCTTACATTTTATGAAACGAATCAGTTAGAACTTTTCAGCTAAATCATTTTTCCATGTCTTTCATATTTCTTTCCAATTTTGCCTTTCAGTATGAAATTGGGCTGTAGTTATAATTTGGGGCACAAATTCATAAATAGACTTCAAGACCTTACTTATTTTATAATTTCTCATGTTTCAACTGTCTCTTTTGATGAAGCGTGGGCATACACCAAGGAAACAGCCTTTCTTTATTGTTATAATTTCTCCATGCATACCAATTTTATTTGTTACTCTATCAATAGGTTGGTCAGGACGTTGTGGCAGAATTGACAAAAGCCATTGAGAGAAAAGGTTTGGATATGCGTGTAACAGCTCTGGTAATTGAAGTGTTGGGTTCTTTTGCATAAACATCAACTTACATAACTTCTGAATTACCAGCTGATATTGGCAGATCTAAAGACAGTACCAATTCTATGTGTTATGCTTTCTATCTGAACTTACTTTCATTATTTATCTTAGGTCAATGATACAGTTGGGACATTAGCAGGAGGTCGATATACAAACAAAGATGTCATTGCTGCTGTTATTTTAGGTACTGGAACCAATGCAGCATATGTGGAGCGTGCTCAAGCAATACCCAAATGGCATGGTCTTTTGCCGAATTCTGGAGAAATGGTGAGGTTTTGATCTTGGTTTGGTTCACTCAAATCTTTATCTTAATGAGGCCTGCAAAACATCTGATAAGAATAGTAGAATGCAAATTGAAGCCTGTCTGAATTTATGGCTTCAGGTTATTAACATGGAGTGGGGAAACTTCCGTTCATCACATCTTCCATTAACTGAGTACGATCTTTCACTAGATGCCGATAGTTTAAACCCTGGTGATCAGGTCAGCTTATGGTTCTTGTATAATTGTATTCTATGTTCTGTTTCATTTGGCTTGATAAAGTTATATCACTTCTTCTAAAGTACTCTATGATGTTTCCAGATTTTTGAGAAGTTAATTTCTGGAATGTATCTGGGAGAAATTGTCCGCCGAGTGCTATGCAGAATGGCTGAAGAAGCTTGTTTATTCGGTGATACTGTTCCTCCAAAATTGAAAGTTCAATTTATATTAAGGTATAATGCTATCTGGTCAGCCGCTGTTGTGTTATTTCTTTTATAACATCAATTAAACATGATAAAAATCTTGCCTTACTATAACTGTTTCCTACTTTTCATTGAACTTGAATGTCTACAATATTGCTGTCACTTGGTCATGATATAGCAAGCTTTTTAAAATGCCAAGATTTCTATGCTTTTAATTAATGGAAGTGCTGTAAAACTGTTTTATTATAAGTTCATGACCATAGCTTTGGATGTTTAGGACCCCGGACATGTCTGTGATGCACCATGATACATCTGCTGATCTCAATGTGGTTAGAAGCACACTGAAGAACGTCTTGGAGGTTAGGATAATATTTCTCTTTTGTTGGGAAAAGGTTTACTTAGACTGGCCTTTATAGCACCTATACAATGATTTTCACATTTTGTATTGGAATGCATTTGTTATGTTTTGAGTGCACAGACATCTTAAGTTCTCAATTTTGCAGTTTTGAGGAACTAATAGGTACTTAGGTGGGATGGGGAACCCTATTCAAAAGCTAGCTGTTGAGTTAGGAGAACGAACCCACTTAAATACCCCATTAAGCATCCCATATTACTCCATATGGGACTTCTCCATCAATTGGTTTCCCATGGAAAGCTGACGTCCTAACGGTGGCTACATTCCATGGTACTTAACTCGACCTCTTGCCTGTCAAAACCCTCCATGAGCAGCCCTCTTTGAAATCGCTAATAACCAGACTTTAATATCAATTGATGGATACCTAAATGAAATAGGTATCTCTACCTCAAAAGCTAACTGTTGAAGTGGGAGAATCAACTTGCTTAAATATCCCATTGAATGTCACATACTACTAAATATGAGACTTGGTATCCCACACTACCCCATCAAGAACTTTTCATGAACAACTTAATCTTCTCATATTAATTAAAGACACAAACAAGATATGAACTTTGTCTTATTGACCTGTGCTTTTGTTTTCAATTTTAGATACCAGATACCTCCCTGGAAGTGAGGAAGGTGGTTGTTCAGCTATGCAACATAGTTGCTACACGCGGTGCTCGTCTTGCGGCTGCTGGCATCTTGGGGATCTTGAAGAAACTAGGGAGAGACACCCTCGTGGATGACGAGAATCAGAAGAGCGTTATTGCCATGGATGGTGGATTATATGAGCATTACGCAGAGTACAGCAAGTGCTTGGAGAACACCCTAAGTGAATTGCTCGGTGAAGATGTCTCTAAAACTATTTGCATTGAGCACGCGAATGATGGTTCGGGCATCGGTGCAGCCCTTCTTGCTGCCTCTCATTCACAGTACCTTGATTGATGGCAACTTATAGCAAAAGTGATATGAGTTATTACATTTTTTTTTTAGGCTATTATCCATTGATGATCCTTTCTTCGTACAAGTAGGGATGACTTGTACATTGATAATTCTGGGGCAGTTTTGCAATTGTTGCCCCTTGACTGTGATCATCTCTTTTGATTCGTTTATATTATTCATTGAGAAAAATATCTATTTTACATGGGAGATTCTCTGGTATGTAAACTTTGTGTTTGAAGTACTTGTGAGCAATGGAAGCTGCATTTCATGTTGAAGAGACCTTTTCTAGCTGCATGAATGAAGAGGAGAGATTTTTTAGATAGACTTTGTTTATGTAAAGGATATTTTATTGACATGAAAACAAAAGTTGTGAAAAAGATCATATTTTCTCATATTAAAAAAATTGACAAAACATGATATTGATGGTATTGGAGAAAAGTGATAACTTTCATTTGGTTTCCAGAACAAAAATTTAGGTTTGGTCCATGTTGCAATCAAAGACAAATCCCATTGCGTTAATTGGTGCGCATATATAGCATGCTAATTAAGTTTTCCTGTTGCCTTATTTTATCGTTGGCTATATTTTCAACTCTGCCTAACGGATTCTTGAGTAATACTCATGGTTATTGGTATTATTGCGTAGATCATCAATACATATATATTAACTGGTGCTTTTAGTGTTGGATAAAGGAGTCTGGGTAAATTTGAATTGTAAACATGATTTTGGGTAGAATTGATTTAATTAGAATTCAGATATAAGTTAGAGTTGCTTCTCATTTACCGTTGTAGTTTTTAATAAATGAGGGTATTTAGATAACTTTTTAAATGTGGTTTTGACTTATTGCAATTCAGTCTCCGTAATTTTGATTCATTATAACCCGGTCTTTATAATTTTAATTTAATTCAGTTTTTAAATTTAACTTGGTGCAACTTAGTCTAAGTGAAATATTATCTATTGGATGATTATTTTTCCTTTTTTTTTAATAATTAACTATGTACAATGTACATGCCTCATGGATGGTGCACCTTACACAGAGCTCCATGGCTTTCCTTGTCCCTTTTCCATCATGTTTGTCTGTATTTTTTACTTTTCTCTGTAGTTCTTTGCATTTTGGATTTTTAACCTAAAATTTGTTCAAATCAATACATCTTTAATTTCCATAAAAATATTAGCTATTAGATAATTATCATTTATCATGTGCATTGAATGAGAAAAAAACACATCTAATTCTTAGGACAAAAAAAAACATATGTTATCGGAGATTCCAAACTACAAACGAATAGATACAAAAAAGAAAAGTATAAATGGTTGACATAGTGATTATGTTTTGACCAAAGGGGCTACCCCATTGAAGAAAAACAAGAATGTTTAAATACGTGCGCCATATCGTTGCCGTCTTCCTTCCAATCAAACTCTAGTTGACATATTTTTAGACCCACTTGCTCAAATGTTGACATTATAGGAGATTAATATATATATATATATATATATATATTAAAAGAAAAGAAGATTGAATTAAACTTAAAAAAGGATTAAAATATTTGAAAAGGACCAAAGATGCTTTAATGGATTAGTCTAAAAATTTGCTACTCTCAAAACAAGCAATTGCGATTAGAATTTTTTAATTTGTAAAGGGAAAAAACTTTCATACAGAGGAACATTTTCAGTTATTTGTTATTATCATTTGCAAATTTGCAAACCTTAAAACACAAATTTGAAAGTAAGATTTGTTAATTTGTGAAGGAAAATAATTTTTAAATAATAATATATTTGACAAATTTTTCCTTTAAATATTAGCAAATCTCACTTGCAAACTTTTATTTTGAGAGTTCCAAATCATAAAATGAGAATAGCAAACTTTTAGACCAAATCACTAGAGTAAATTTTCAAATATTTTAGTGTTTACTTTTTATTTTTTGATTGACTGATGTCATCCCCACGCACACTAACTAACTGCATATTTGTCTCTCTTGCTGGTTAGTAGTAGGAGCAATTAACATGGATGATCTTAGATTGAACTCACTTAACCATAAAGAAAATAATAATCTCTTTGTTGAGAAATTAATCAGCCTCGTTACTGTCTATAGGTAGGTTAATTTTTCTTCGAAATACATAGATTTAAATTAAGGTTAATTCAACAATGAATAGTTTCCATTCTATTTTCATAGTCCAATCAAAAGTTTCAACACTCTATTGGTCATTGTCATGGCACATTTTATCTTGTTATACGAAGAGTAATTTAAATTTCTACACTTTTCAAACGATTTCGTTTTGAGTGCGTGCAACGTCTCAAGAAGTCAAGATGGATTTAAATATTCTCTTCTAAATGCAGAAATTAGTCCTTATATATATGAAACTTATTCCCTTATTTTAATATATCATTAAAAAAATGCAAATGAGTATAATTATAATACAAACAAAAAAGAGAAAATGATGAAAGGATTTCCTCTTATACAAATACAGATTATTATATGATTACTTCTTTGGCTAGCAAGAAGCAAAGGGTCAAAAAAACGAAAAGTAATGTATATGTGGTTATATCCAATTTATTATCCATTATTAATATAATATAAGTGATGTAGAAATACAGATATGATTACTCCCGTTGGGCAAAAAAATAAGCACTCCCATAGGGCTAAAAATGATGAAATGATTCCCTCCAATACAAGTATAGATTATTATATGATTACTCCTTTGGCTAGCAAGAAGCAAAGGGTCAAAAAAACAAATAGTAATGTATGTGTGTGTGGTTATATCCAATTTATTATCCATTATTAATATAATATAAGTGATGTAGAGAAAAGCATGCACCACTTACTATTTTCCAAAAGCCATTCATTAGCTTGACCTTTTAATTTTCTTCCTCTTCATTCAGCAAAACTTTCTGCTTCATTTTCTTCTTTCTCCCATGGCCAGAGACTCGGAGGTTATAATTTCAGATCAAAATATGCACACAAGTACGGTGAATCCAACTGAGGAAGAAGAACAAACTGATTATTATGAGGTGATCATCAGCAATAATACTCCATGATTGTTCCATCTGTATATCTTTTCATATCACTTTGATCCATTCGTACTGTGTCTAAAGCTATGGCACACAGGCTGAAGCCAGGCAAATAATACTGTATTATATATTGAGGATGAAGAAGAATATAATATATCGCAGATATATACTGATATATAGCTGCATTTCTTTTTATTGTAGATGTTATTGCTGATATATATATGTGGTTCTTGATGTGGATCTCAGCTTGTATTGATCTAATCAAGATCTCGTTTTGCGGATACTTATTTGATAATATGTATTGGTGGATAAATTGACAAAATTTGAAGCTGGCTCGATATAGTCATAGGTTGATGAAGGGGTATTTTGTCACCGTGTTATGAGCCTTAGATGTAGGAGTTTGAGAAAATTAAAGATGTTATTGTGTAACTCTCTGCAAAAATCCAGAATAGAGTGCAAAAGTTGTTTTTATTAATTAACGTTGATATATTTATTCCTGTCAACAATATTTAACGATTTTAGGTCTTGTTTTGTTAATTTGTTAAGCATTGTTTTTAAATTTGTATGTCTTATTACTTTCGAATATGTAAAATAGTGAGTTCTTACTTAGTCTTAGGAGAGTGAGGAAGAAATCCCATATTGTTTTTGGTTTTTGGTTTTGTTTTTCCTTAATAAAATATATTGCATTACGAAGAGAATTACAGTGGAAGCAGAAGAATTCAGTTTAATTAAATGATATAATAGTTTAATGAATTAGACTCAATATATCTATACGAAAATTATTGCATTTATAACTTATAAATAGCGCAACTTAACTCAAAACTCCTTACAAAGTATAGACACATTTTATACTTGTTATTTCAAAATGTCTCCTTTTAATTTAAGTTCAAATATTATATTCCTTTTGACTCCATATATTTAGTTATTTTATATAAGATTAATTAGATTTTTTTTTGCCAAAAAAATTAGGATACTTTTACCATGTAAATAATGCAATTTATATTTTTAGGCTACAAGTGCAATTTACTAACCTGAACATCGTAATTGCCAAGCCCTGCGCTTTCAATATTGAGCCAGCATTGTGATTTACCATTTACATAAGTTCCTATAGTAATAAACTATGAGCTCCATACTTGTTTTTAGTGAAAGAAGCCATACCTATTTATGTATGATGTTTTGAATTCAAATTCGTGTAAATGTTAAAAATTACTTCCTCTGTATTAGTTAATAAGGTATTTTCCGGAGTGATTCGAATGCAATTTAATTGAATTATTACTTTTACGCCAAACTCCTAACCTAATTGAACATTGAAGCTACAAAGTACATGGATCACTTCAAATTCCTAAACTATGTCTTAATTCAATTATATATTTATATAGCACACGCATAAAGTACAAGAGTGAGAGAGATAAATATAATTTGATAGAAACACAACTCTGTACAAATATTGGTGAGAGTGACAATTAAGCTACATTCCTATCCTTAAATGACCATTCAACAACTCATGTGATTATAAAACAACATCATCAAATTCCAAGTCAGAGAGAAGAAGAATGAAGCGAGCGAGCGAGCGAATTCTTAGTGAATTAAGATTACTCCTTCAATTGATATTAGTCTCAGAACATTCCAAATAATGCTCCCAGAAATACTCACGTTTCATAATTTGTGAATAATATCAATCAATATAAAATATATAATTTATAGTAAATCATGGTCATGATCCCAATTCCCAAGGACTCATGAAATGCAAATCATTTCAGACACTGAATAATTTACGTCGACAAAATAAATAAAAAAAACTATTTATAAGTATTTCTGAGGATAATCAGGTGGTCCCTACATGGATATGGAAGTTAGGCTGGCATGATGAATGAGAAGGACCATTCATCCATGCACTTGTCTCCCACAATTCCCTTTTCCTTCTAATTCCATCGCCATGATGTGTCCATCCACCATACCCTTTTTTTTTTGGTGACTTTTTGCATGCAATTCTTCCCAAACAAAATTACAAGCCCTTCTCTCCTGTCTCTATTCACATGATTCTTATCAAAACGCTCTAGAATATAACCCACTTACATAGCTATATCAAATTAAATGATTGTTGGTCATGTATTATTCAATGTATTGTTATAATTATTTCATGAATGGTTATATATTATGTCTTTAAATTGGTTTGTGTTTTATGCAATGAAATCATTGATATTGATAAGTAAATTATCATATCCTTCTTATTGAATTCAAAAATTTTTTCCAAAATTTAAAAGACAACATTCAAAATATTACTAATGAATTTATTTTTTAAAAGGTATGAACATAAACAACAAATTTTTTTAAAAAAATATTTCAACATTTATTAATTCAATGATAAATATAGTAGAGGTAAATTTTGAATGTTAGTAATTATCTGTTCTATAATACAAGAAGAGAAGAAGATTGAAAGAGAGATGCTTACCAAATAATTAAAGAGACGCAATTGAGATTGGTCTAATTAATAATGATTTGATCTATAACTCATAAAATTATAAAATTAAATTATGTTGTTGATATAAATACTTTGTTAGTATATGATTTATAAGTATTTTTGTAGGCGCTCATTATAAATTTTCAAGATCTAACATTTTTTTTTTAAATGTCTCTCAGTTTTTTCCTCCTCACTTTACGGCACAACATCCATAGACGTGGAAACAGAAAGAATAGCATGATTTGCACATACAGTCCCATTTCTTAGAATTATTCTTATCGTACATTATTGTATCATTTGTTTGTCAACAACAGTAGGTCCCAGCACCTTAGCTTCTCATTGTTGGTGCTAGTCACTTTCTAGGTACCTGCAGCTATGAACATCGTTAATACAACATAAAGATAAGCACTATAAAATTATATTCTAAGCTAAATTAATTTTGAAACTCTTTAACAAGAAAAGAAAATGAGTGATGAAGATATTAAAGAGAGTTTGTCATAATATTGTCGCAGCTGGAATGGGAGAAACAAGGGAAGGAGGATTGTTTTCTGGAGCAAATATATTTTGGGAAGTCGAATCATTTTAGCATTTTCAAAAAAGTCAAGTGTGGTTCTGTGTAGGTTTATTCTTGTCCATGGTCCACCACCCACTAAAAAATGCATATAAATATTCCTACTATGTGTTTTTGTTTACTTTTCTTTTGTTTTAGTTTGGCTTATTTTTTTGTTTAATGAGATTCTTTTTTTCTAATTTAATTTGACAATGAAGATAAAAGTTACCAAGTTAAGACTCTATTAGTGTCTTAAACAAGAAATATTTAAATAGATAGGATGCACCACATCATTTATAATCTGTTCAATAAAAATATAATATTTAAATAGCATTAAATATAAGTTAATTTTAATATTAATGATACTTGATAGAAAAAAGTTAAAAAATTAAATGTGCATTTTGTTATAAAAACAAAAATTAAATTTAAAAATATTATTTAATATCTTATTTAGATTACTTAAAGTATTTTAGTTGGACAAACCACAAATAACGTGATGCATTGGATATATTTAAATATTTCTTGTCTTAGACTTTATTTTATATCATTTTCTCCTCTAAACATTTAAAAACCATCCATTTATGTCTTGTTATTAGCCCATCTATTAACCAAATTTTTTAAACCAAAAATGTATATGTGATTAAATGTCAGTTTTGCTCTTGAAATATTCATTTAAAAACACCTAGAATCTTGAATTAGATTTCGGATTATTTCCCCCTTTACACGTAAAAAAGCCTAACCCTGTCATTAACTCACTACAGACGAACGTTAAGTTAATAGGTCCAATGTGTATGTACATGTAACATCTAAGTAGATACGCAATCAAAAAATTTTAAAATAAAAGTTCTATCTCAAATCATAATAAAAAATTAATAAAAAAATTGGCCATGTGTGCACTTCACAACCTAATTTAAAATAGAAAAAAAAAATTTTAAATGATAATAAATTTTTAAAATTATATAAATGATAATTTGATCTATCAAAATATTATAATTTCACTAAAGTTCTTAAAATTTTTTCTATCATTAATGAATTTATATAAACAATCAAATTACTCTTGTTAAAAATAAAATGACTCACAAATTTTGTTTAAATAATCACAACTTTCCTTCTTATATTTAAAATAATGTAACAACAAATTACAACTTTACATGTTAAATTCTTAATTTTTTATTACATCATTATGAATATAAAAAAAAAGTTATGATTATTTAAACAAAAATTGTTAGTCATTTTATTTTCAACAAAGAAAATTTAATCATTTATATAAATTTATTAATAATAGAAAAGTCTCCAAAAACTTTAATAAAATTATAAAATTTTAAAAAATTAAATTATCATTTATATATTTTAGAGAGATTTTATTGTCATTTTTCAAGAATTTTAACCCAAAAAAAATTAAAAAAAAAATCAAGTCATGAGAGTCTCTCCCAAATTGGAAACTCAGCTCCCAACTGGACTCAAATTTGAATTAGACAATGAAAGAGAATTTTATAAACATTACTAGATTTAAGAGTCTTAATAACAACTCCATGAGAACCAAGCAACAACCTAGGCTGACATTGAAAATTAAGACATAAAATTTGTGAGACTCAGTCCCAAATCTTAACTAAAGTCAAGCAATGCACATTTTCATTTTTCAGATTATGATAAAGTAGGAATATCAGATACATGCAGATGGTTTTAACTCAACAGCACGTAAGTACACACATCCGTTCTAGTACTTAACTTCCCCCTACTTCTACTTTGCATCAGCTCATCCGCATAAAATTTTCATTAAAAAAACAACCGAAATACATCCATGCACATCACTTAGGACAAGTAATGTGCACACATATATATATATATAAGCTAATAGCTTCATTTTTTTTTTTTCCTCTGATCTTCACCAGTGAAAAGAACCAAAATGTCAACTTCACTTTAAACAGCTTCGTCAATTGGTTTTCTTGGCTTGCTTGTTACCAACTGAAAAAAAGAACATATCATCAGTCATTATTAATCACTTTGGATTGAGAAGAAAAATAGTGTCTAGATTTAGTAACACTCACGGGTAAAAGCAGAAAGCTCAGAACTCTTCAACACACGCAGCCTCTTCACTGTTGATACGAACATGCTGCAAATCAGAAAAAAGATAATAAATATCTGAGCTTGCAAACACAGGAATGACAAATTCATTAGAAAACACTAACAAAGAGCTCGATGCAAGCGTCACTCTTAGTGTGTTCTTGTGAGGGGGCAGACAAACAAGTATTATATTTTTGTGAAGAAACAGACATTAGACATACCATTGCCGGATAGTGTTTTGAAGAATATATAATTGTTACAGAATAAGAATATGAGGAATCTAATCAATCAAATGATGCTATAGTTTATAGAAAAAGATGTTGGTTTAGGATTGGCCTCCTGTTAAAACAACAGCAAGTGGAGGAGAAATTGATATTATATTGGAATAGAATAAGAATAAGAAAAGGGGATGCATCAGATCCACAGCGGCGAAAGATGCTTACTGCCATGGCACGTCCCCAACGAGCATCCTGTCTCCTTCATTATCCTCATAAACAAGAGTATATTCTCCACTTCCATCCAATAAACCTGTTATAGCTTTTTCTTCCTCTTCCTTGTTCTGGATTCCTCCAGCAGTGGAATCTCTTTGAGCTGAACAGTCAATTAAAAACCAAGAAGCAAGTGAGCCAACTTTCACTATCATGTACTACAAGCAAAGTTGATAACCAATAACCCAAATAAATAAAAGGAAAAGAGAGACTTTTATAAGAAAATTTATCCCATCTACCAGAAAAACTAGACCAGGTCAATTTTTTTTTTTTTTTGCATGTGCACCCAGTATCAGGAGTCCTTTGAACCACAACTGATCCAAATCAAGCCAGGTTGGACCACAAGAGCAGCGAAATCTCCCAACGACAACAAATATTTAACGTCGTTGCATCCCAGAGCTCAAATTCAAGACTTCTGGTTAGGCTAGCACAGCCCCTAATTAGCTGAGCCATGCAGCCGTTAGTTAGAACAGGTCAATTTATAAACACATAAATGTTTCTTGCTTCAGGCCATGTGGCAGTCTTTAGTGAAACCCACCTCTAACATGCCTATGTGTAGAAAGCTAACTAGCTTCTTGTGATTATCTTTTTGACCAACTGGTGAGCATGATGACCTAAAACTCGCCTTTTTTTTTTTTCATTTTTTGGTTCCGAAGGCCATCTTCAAAAACTTGCATTAAGAAACATTTAGGGCAAAAAAAAAAAATAGACGGCATGTATATTCTCCTACTTTAGATGTCTATCTAGTGATTAATTATTAAAAAAAATAGAACAATTACATGAAGAGCTCGAACTTCAAAGGGGTTGAATGAATGTCTTGGTGATTAGATCTATTTTATGATTCTCAAGTGAATTTTTTTAATCAGTCGTGTGATAATCTCAAAGTAATCTGATGGTCAAAATACTCATCAACTTTCTGAAACATCGCGCTCTTCATATAATCATCCTATTCCTATAGCATAGGACACTTTTCTAGACAAAATCACCAAAGGTGAAAAATCAGAGCCTTCCATAGCAACACCCTAACCTAAAATACCTACCAGCAAGGAGGCATCTGAAGAGTTCATCAACAGCAGAGGAGAGATTTTCATAGCTGTCATAAGCATTGAGGTCTACTTTTCTTCCGATGGGAACTCCATCCATATTGATCTTCACAAACAGACCTTTACCAACGTTGTCAACAACAGGTTTCTTTCCAGCAACCTTGTCTGCAACATCTTGCTGCTGTTGTGTCTCAGAAGCTGTCTTAGAACAGCTGTTGCTTGCAAGTTTCTTCCTAAACGAACGAATTGGAGGCCAACCCACTACTGGCCCAGGAGCAGTTCTGTTCATTATGGATCCAACCAGAAAGTTCAAAATTAAAAGAGAACGATTAGTTATTGTGTTACACTCAAAATAATAATAAAGCAATCTTTAGATGATTGATATTAGCATGTGTTAGATTCTTTTAAAGGAAAAAAAAAACAGCTGTCATGATTTATTGAGAGAATATAATAACAGAGGTCTAACAATTGTATTTAGATCTAGTTGCATGGGAACACAAACTAAAACTTGAACATGTGGGACCATATTTAGTTATTTACTCACCCAAATGTTCATAAGTAATTTTTGTTTTTGTGGTGAATCATGTAGAATTTAATGTTGGCAATAATTCTTATTTGAATCTAAAGAGGGGCAAGAGATAAGTAAAAGAGACACAGTCAGAAGCTGACATGCCAATATCAGTTTTGAGTTAAAACAAGATACAATGAAGAGGATAATAAATGAAGATAGAGGGCATCAGAAAATCAGATGGAGACATATCTGAAGCATTCAATGCAAGAAAATATAACAGAACAAAATAGGGAGTACTGGTTCTCAGTACAAACAATTGAAGGTTTATTATGGTTATTTCCTACAATTATGACATCTTTAAATTATTATTTTTTTGAGTCACTTAGAAGAGCAATGGATGAAAACAGAGTTGTGACTCCAGATCTAACACATTTGACCACTCATTATGAATGAATATCCTCTGCCTTAATGTTCAGAAATAAATGAAACAAGATTAATGGGAAGGAGAAAACAAAACCAAAACAAAAACGGAAATACAGAGTTTTGATCTTTAGGAAAAATATTCTCTCAATTTTGAAATAGAGTAACACAACCGTTACAAATTTTGAATGATTACTGTAGAGAAATCAATCCAAGAATTAAGGTTATGTGTTTGTTTCAAAAAAGGAAAACGGCTAGAGTCATACCTTTTCTGAGAGGTATTAGAGGGCACAGCTGGATTAGCAGATGAGCATGATGATGAGAAAGCTTTCTTCTCTGAATTCTGCAGGTTTAATCCTGGCAGACCCTGAGGGCTACATGATGGAAACTGAAGAAATGATGACCCCTTGGAAGGAGCCCAAGAAGAGGCAGAGATTTTCTGGGTTTGCTGAGAGAATAAACCAAGAGAGAGTAGAGATTCATCACTACTGGTCACGTTTTTGTGTTATGATTGAGGGACCAATCTTCACCAGGTGGACCAAGTGTGAGCTCAAGCTTTCTCTCCTCACAAGACTTGTTGCTGCTGCTGTTTTGGGTTCTTGCTTCTTCCTTTGGGATCAAATCTAGCAGCTGAGGAGACTGCTCCTCATTTCTTGACCTCACATACATCTGATGAGAATCCTTCTATGGCAACTCCACTGCTCAATATTGCAACAAAACCACGCGTAAGAAAGACAGCAAATTACAGTTGAGATAATATGATGGAGTAGAAAAAAGATCTCATCTTTCTTATTATAAAGAAGAACAAGCTTCAGTGTACCTTTGATATGTGAACCCCGGGAAAGAACAAGAGAAACCAAGATGCAGCGTGGAAGCTTGAAGGGTGTGAAAAAAACTTGGACACTGAAGAAGTAAGCAAGAGGACGAGACAGAATAGGAACCAGAAAGCACCACTAGACAACAAGAATAACAAGAACAGAGAGGGAGTAGAAGGGAAGGAGGTTTGCAATAGCAAGGGGATTGCGGGTGGCTTTGCTTTTTATAAAACTTTTGATTTTGATTTTGATAAGCACGCTTTGTGGGTTGGTCTGGTTCTTTTCTCTCTCAAACTTTTGGAAGGAGAGAGAAAGAGAGAGAGATTCGGAGTTTGTCCAATAGAAAGCAGCAGAGGAGTGGAATCCTGGAATTAGAGCACAAGGCACGCTATCTTGTGAGTCCTGAGGTGAGGTCCCTCTTATGTATCATCCCTACAATAACGTTAGTTAGTTTAGCTCAGCAAGTAACCAGCGCCCTAAATAATGTTCCCTTCGTTTTCTTTTTTTCTCGCTTCAAAATGTTTTAATTTTCTATTAATAAATGGGAGATGATTATCAGCAAGTTTGGGTCTAACAAGAGAGGTTAATCCTACACAATATGATGAGTCAATATTCAAATTTTCGTTAAAAGAAAAACTCACATTTTACTGTCCAACTGTGCCTGAATCAAGATCATTACTTTCAATAAAAAAAATACATGCCAAGAACGATAAATAAATGGCAGATGATTTGATTTGCTACTATTTCATTAGCATACAGCTAATTTGGTCCGAGCATGAAGACCCAATACCCCCATCCATCTTTATCCGGGATCAAATTAGGATGAATTGAGCCCAGCTCAAAAAAATACGTGACAGGATGTAATAAAACCGAGACACAATGACAGTTCTTTAATGGGCATTCTAAAAGGCCTTAATTTTCACTGGAATAATAATTTCACTAAGATTAATAAGATTAAAAACTTGATTATTGAAGATTGGACTATAACGTTCAGTCACATTTTTGAAGAAGTAATTGGCTTGCTGGCCATCCATTAGATGATAATTTAAACATCATAATTTTCGTTGAATCACTCTGAGGGTGCAAAATATTATTTGTTCTAACTAATTCTTCCTCGCACGGTTTTCTGTATCCTTACATTAAAAATAAGCACGTGAATGGTTTTTTTTTTATTTTACTGTTATTTTATTATCTTTTACACTTTTAGCTTTTACAATTAAGTCATAAAATTCATTTTATTTTTCTATTTTCTGATTACCTTTTTATCAAATTGCTTGCTCTTACCTCTTACCAGTGGTTCACCTCACTATCTAACTCATTTTTATTGAAAAGAATCTATTCACGTTCGGTTTATATTACCTTTTTTATTGCATGGTTGCTTGTGTTGGAATTTAGTTAATCGACCCTGATTATCATATATGTTTCATAATTTATTGTTTAATATAGATTAAAAAAAAACATGTATGATTCAAGGCAACATAAATATGAAATGCCAATCATCTGGATTCCTCTCGATTAATTAAAGTATTAGCTCACCTTAATGCAAAGAAATAACTCTTCTGTGTGCCAACTCAAAATTGAAAAGTAAAAGAAGAAAAAGTTATTTTCGTTTCATATATAGTTATATACTAGTACAAAGTTCGCGACGAGGTTATGGGTCTTTTGTTTTCGCTTATAATAATGTTTTAAAGCTAATCTAAAATATTTTTAAAATAAGTTGAAAACTGATTTTTTAAAAGATTAATAAATAATGATTTCTTCATATTTCGCTGTCAAAATTCAAAATCACTTTTTTAAACTTAATATCTAATGTGCATCTAAATAATTATAAGTTTTTGAAAAATAATCATGATAATTGAATAAAAATATTTAGTTTTGTTAGAATTTTTTTTTCCCAGCAAGTACGTTGTTAAATTAGAGGCAACGCTTTTTAGGAAATCTTTTATGAAAATTGAACGTATCAATGAGGACGAAAATGATAATATGAGAATGAATTACTGTAGGATTTTTTTTTTTGGCCTGAAAACTGTAGGAATTTATTATACATAGTACATAGGAGTACAATAATATATATTCTCTATTTTAATATTGACTTCAATAATTGGGAAGAAACGAAAACACTGAAGAGATTTAATTATTTAGGCAAAAAAAAAAATCATAAAACACTGCTTTAACATTAGATGCAAGCTAGTAATTGATAAACTTTTATTATATTAAATTAATGAAGTGATTTATCATTTTTTTAAAAAAAATTGATTTTGTTTTATGAAAAATAAACTGGGAACAGAGGAACAGCGAAAACATGCTGATCAAACGATCTCGTACTGCCGTTCTTGTCAGCTTACGGTTCTCTCTTTTTCTCTCTCCGTCCACATATCCCCATATGACTATTAAATTCAGGACACAAGCTCCTCTGGCTAAGATCCAGTGTAACGTCCCTTGATATGGAATCCTACACCTGACTATTTATCATCCGTTGGATTTCGTAATGTCGAGATGTGTGTAATCTCCTGCATCAATGCAGATCGCCTAAAGCTAAACCCTATCTACACACTACACGTAATCTGACAAAGGGTAGAATGAATTCCAATTCTTTCTTTCCTTTCTTTGTTTTTTTTTTTTTTGGTTACTTTTCGACATAATAAAAAGATTGATAAAAGGATTGGAGTAGAGAAGAGTACTCTGAAGTCTGAACCTGACTTGCAAAACAGCTCAAAGGACAAGCACTTTTGTTACATTTTTACCCATATTATCATATTATAATTTACTAGTACCTGTTTACTCTCACAGTCACATCAGTATCAGTATATTATGCTAATAGCAAGATCTGGGAACATCTGATTATTAGTTGATTAGTTGCATATTATCCCTTCTTCCTCTTTGGCCAATTATAACAAATTAACGACCTCACCAAAATTAAGAAAAAGTTATTAGATTATTAATTTTAGTTAAAAATATAATAAATTTTTAATTTTACCTCTATTTAAATAAAATAATTTTTTTGACTAATGAGTTTAAATATGGGTTATTCTCCTTCATTATATACTCCCACTATTTTTATTTGTAAGAGAAAAAAATTATATTACATAATCTAAAAAATTAAATTAATTATATTAATTGTGTCTAAAAATTAAAGAATAGACTACAATATCTTTTATTAATTATTTTGAATGATGAAATTATGAGGATGATTTAATAAATTTGTAATAAATGCCTATTAAAAAATATGATTTTGTTTATATAAAAAAATTAAAAATGATAGTTTTTCTATAAATAAAAATGAAAGAAGTGTTAGTTATTAAACTTAATTTTATTTGATGTGAGACTTGATACATCAACTCAAATTCACTTATACTTAGACAACATAACATTATAGTATTAACATCCAGACCAACTCGATCAGTTGAACCAATAAATCATTGAGCCAGTGCATTAGCTAGGTCAATGATATGTTATGTTCATGGCTAATCTGATCACAATTTGATTACAATTTTGATTACTGACCCTTGAATCAGTGTTATGATCGCACTCCAATTTCCCCGTACCTTGTGTATTACTCCCTCCATTTTAAATTATAAAATATTTTTGGAGAAAATATTCTGTCCCAAAATATAAGACTCAATTTTATTAAATATACTTATTTCAATATTATCCTTTCTTTTTCTATTTAATACTAATTAGATGTGGATTTAAGGTTATTAAATGAAGACTATTTTTAAAAGTTTATAATTTTATGTTTAAAAAATAAAGTTGTTAAGTATATTTTATGGGGGTTATTGACATGTGAAATTTTATTTAAAAATATCTTTTAATTTAAAATAAATTAATACTATTTATTTGGCTATCGATATAAATATATGTTTACAAATGTGGGAGTATTAATGGAGCTATTGAGCACAGGTGGGATGATAGGGAGTACAGGTGAAAGAATTTGTGGTAGTTAATGATGGAATGGACGGAGTCATGCATGAGTGGCTTTTTTGACCAATGACAGCAACTAATTGGGTTGAGTCTGTGTCGAGCAAATATATCTTTCTTAATCACAAATCTTCTAAGTCCTTTTGAATGAATTACCTTAAAGCTCATCATGGAAAACCATTCAATTGACTAAGAAGTAGTTTGATTTAGTTGGAGGAATTTAACTTCTTCGAAGCAAGATCAGGAGTACTCAAGCCTTGTAAATATACAAATTTAAATAACTGTTTGGTTTTTTTTTTCCTTTTTTATAAGAGAATTTTGAAAAGGGGTTTTATTATCCTAATTATAAGAAATAACAACTTATTTTCTTAAGCATTTATTAAAAAATTTCTATTATACCTCATTGAAAAGGAAAATAATAATCACCATGCACTCACATTCTCTCATTGTAGAGGGACTCATTGGATCCTCGGATATTTTAGGGGGAAAATATTCGTAATATATTTATTGATTTTAATTGCATTTATTGACATGATAATTAATTATTTTTCTCTTATTAAAAATAAAGAAGGGAGTAGTATATTTGAAAATATTCTTTAAATTTTAAACCTTAAATTATCATTTATTTATTATTGTTTGAATTTATAGATAATAGTTTATTATAGTAATTGACTGCAAAAAGGTAAAATTAAAAAATTACATAATTTTTAACTAATTTTAAGAATATAAATATTATTTCTTAATAAACACAAAAGCAGTTACGTTTCCTTATATCAAGAACTAAATGAAGTATTACTAAGATTTTTTATTGATTCTAACTAATTTTAGCTTCATTCACGAATGGAAAAAGGAAAAAAGAAATACTCCCTCTATTTAATATTATAAATTATTTTTAATCGAATCACATTTCTAACAGTTAGTTAATTGTATTTAAAATAATGCATCCTTTACATTTCTGTCCCTATTTAATATAGCATTTCAATTAAAAAATTTTATCAATTACACCCTTTATTAAATATATTATTAAAAAATCTCATTAACTACTTAAAGATCTAAAATATCTTATATTTTTTAACACCCCACATCAAAAAAAGGTTCAATGTTTTTGAATTGAGGCAATAATATATTTGAAAACACTTTTTTTGTCATATATTTGTAAAGGTTAAAAAGTAAATTGGTTCTTAAATTATAGGTTCTAGAGTATATAATATTTCTCTTTAACTTTTAAAAATAATATAAGTTAACTCTTATTATTAATAAAAGTTAGCTTTAATAGTTAATTAATCAAAAAATAATGAAAAAATCTAAAAATGACTCAAAACAAGGTAGAATGAATGATTCAAAAATGAGAGGAAAAAACTCACAAAATTAAAGAAAAGGATAAAAAAAAGTTATTGGAGAAGAATTTAATTTAACGAGAGAAAAGGGAAGTGACAGTGAAGAGAGGAGAATGGGACGTTGATTGGTCAAA